GATTATAATACTTTATATTGCATACAGGATGCCGCAATTTTTTTATTTTTGAGAGTGTAGTAGGATTGGAAAATTTAATATAAAGCGATACCTCATGGAAAAGCGAATCAAAATGTCCATATTTTATTTCATAAGTCCAGGATCTATTATTCTACCTCAGCCTGCATATTGTTCAATATTCAGCATCGGCAATATGGCATCTCAATCCAAGTTGCTGGTGACAAAGGACATTATTGAACCTCTGTATTGCTGGAAGTTGATGCACACTAACCACAGCTGGAGCTATCGAACGTTTACTTCAGGCCTTACAAGGATGCCCTGTTTTCATTACTGACGCTCAAAATAGTAAAATGCTGCAATATTTTTTAAGAAAGCTGTGGAAAACTATCCAAACCCAAAGTTTCTACGATCCACACGCCAAGGGAGGAGTCAATGTCAGTTTTTGAGGACATCGCTACTGACGTAGTAAGTGAAATCAGTGGAATTAGCAGCCATGGTCTTCAGTGGCGACTAGTTCCACTGATTGAATACGGGTCATAATTATAAACGTTTCTCTAATATTGAGTGTCGTTTGAGGAACGATCACTTCTTGGATTTTGAACGAACAAAAATGGTTCCCTGGAGAAATATCAAAGGAGGATCTAACAAATCACAGTGGGCTGTAACAGTTATCATCAAAGGCTGTCCTCGATGTTATTTGGTTGGTTTATTTCGTTGTTATGCCGTCGTAAAATATTTTTACTTGACGTTTCGCCAACACGAGTGGTTGACATTTCAGAAGGTGTTCACAGTTCGGAGTCCTGTGAGCTACATTATTTACGAAAGAACAATGGTGGCTCCAAACTGTGAACACCTTCTGAAATGCCAACCACTCGTGTTGGCGAAACGTCAAATTAAACTATTTTACGGCGGCCTAACAACCAAAAAAACAACCAAATAACATTGAATGATGGCCGCGAAGGCATTTCGTTGTCATCGATGTCATCAAAATTGTTCGCTGCTTAACATTACGATGAAAGTTCAAGGGATTGTTTTTTTGTGCTAAATTTTAGTGGGTAATGCTAAATGGTAATTAAAAGTGTGTGCTTATTCAATTTCGTGGCGAATAACAAACTTATGCATTATTGCATCTACATTTGACAGTATGAGCGCATTTATACAGGGTGTAAACGTTATGATAGTCATTATTTAAATGGCTAATAGAGGGCGTTAAAAGAAACAAAAAGTTTCATATAACATGTGGGTCAAAACCGCATTTTTTTTAGAGCAAAGCAACATTAAAGTAAGATAAAATCTGACAACGCCGCAATGTCAGACGCAAATTACGACGGAACGCAGTGTAAATAAAGAGTTTGTTATTTTTTGCTCTTAGGTAGTATTTCATTATTTGATAATGTACTCGTAAAATGCAAACAATTAAAAAAACCTACTTACCACTAACTGTCTCGGCGCTTCACCTGGTCTGTGGAAGTTTATCGAACGTATTAAAAAAATCCACTTATAAATAGGGAACACAATTTTGAATACGTACATTGTTTTTCTTTTTAAAACCCACACTGCACTTTTTTGTATTCAAAGAAGGTGTTTAAGATGTTGTCCTCCACTTTCCACACAAGGTTCATTACGACGAACCCAGTTTCTTCTTACTCTAGGTCTTAGAAGTTGTCCATTTATTATTTCAGCCGCATAAAAATTTTTTCGCGACGTTGTGATTCAGTTGTTAATAGCCCAGTCCTATAAACCATCCCTTTAAGTTCTCCCCAATACCAGAAATCCATCGGATTGAGGTCAGGAGATCTTGCTGGCCATTTTCGAGGATCAGGAACATTTCGACCTATCCAGCGATTTGGATAATGTTCATTCAAATACTGAATGACGCCTCTAAAAATGTGTGGTGGTGCCCCGTCATAAAGAAACCACAAATTTTGTCTCCGTTGTAATGGCATGTTGTCTATGGTCTGTTCCAAAAGTTCTGGTAGGTTATTGGCTAGAAAGCTAAGGAATCCTTCTCCTGACAACTTTGGGGGTAACTCGAAAGGGGCAATTACCTGATAGTCAAGAATACCCGCCCAAATATTTATTTTAAGACCTTGTTGGAAATGACCTTCACGAATGGTATGAGGATTTTCTTGGGTCCACGTGTAAAAGTACATTCGTCCGACGCTAGAAGTTTTAAAAAAATCCGGATTTTCAATACTTTTGTGCAAAAACCACTGACAGAATGTTAGTCTGCGAGGATAGTCTTCTGGTAACAAGGCCTGCACTCGTTGTACATGGTAGGGATAAAGTAAATTTTCCCGTAGGATTCTATCGACTATGGTATACGATAGTCCTACGCGGCGGCCTAATTCCCCCGTGCTGATATCTGCATTGATTTCCACGATATTTAAAATTTGTTCCTCCTGCTCTACAGTAACCTGTCTTTCACGAGGGCGAATATTAGTGGGCTGAACACTTCCTGTATCTCGAAGTCTTTGGTACACTTGCACAAATGTCCTTCTGTCTGGGTGTACCCGTTGGCGAAATCTGTCGCGATAAATTTGAGCTGCAAGATTTGAATTCTGACGAGCTTCACCGTAAACTAACAACATGTCGGCGAACTCTTGATTCGAGAACATTGTAAACAAACACGAGTACGCGAACAAAAACAAAACATGCCCGATGCCCGATAACTAACCACTGTTACCGTTTGCGATCGATTGCCGGTTCGATAAGAGTGATGACGCGCTGTTGTCATGTGTGTATAAAATATTTAGTTAATGAAACTTACTTACTGACTACAGATTTTGGCTTAACTTAGAAAAACTTAATACCGTTTATTTGTTAATTACCCAATTTAAAAACGTTTTAGATTAGATTATGAAAATTAGTAAGATTGTGGGCGATATAAAGCACTTAAAGTTAAACTATAAAGCCATTTAGACAAAAATCTATTGACTTTTGGACCATGGGCCATATGAACTTTTTGACTTGCTTTGACCCCCCTATTACTTCCAATAATGACTACCATAACGTTTACACCCTGTATAGCTAGAAAGTTATTCTAGTTTATTTAAATCTGCGGACTAGTCAATTGTATTTCATAATAATAACTAAAAGCAAATTCATGTAAAAAAATGTTAAAGGCATAACATATCCAAAAACTGGACATGCAGCAAATGGTGGAAAAAAACAGATAGCTCATCTATTTTAAAAAGCTGGGCTTGGGGTAAGATAAGAATCTATATTGAGAGTAATAGGGTGAAGAGAATATGCAAATCATTTCTTTGTATTAACACTAGAAGCCGTTTCCAAACATTATGCCGATTAGTAGTGTACATTCAAGAAATAGAACTACATGATGAGCTGTACTTAAAATTACTTATTTCTCCATCGTTCTAAAAAAAGGTAAACACCTACGTATGTTTATCCAACTTTAATAATTTTTGGCATATATGTTCAGTGTCCCTTACTAGTAAAATGATCAAATTTTCAGCTTGATCCGTCAACTGACTGCAGAAGCTGAGTCAATAATGTATTGAGGATCCACGATTTCTTATACACCCATAGACACGCCTGAACCTAATGTGGTCGATATCCTGTTGGGGTATCTCATTCCAGGCTACTGCAACTTCGTCAGTAAGAGCTGCTAAAGTATGTGAAGACTGTTGAAAATTCAATAGCCTGCGACCTATTATGTCCCAGACATGTTCAATTGAACATAGGTCATGCGATCGTGGTGGCCAAGGTTGATGAGATGTTGATCCATGAAGGCTAACGATGATCTGGCAACATGCTTTCTGGCTCTTTCTTGCTGAAGAATCGGGTTCCGGATGGTATTTAGATATGGAATATATGTAGTGTCGAGCTGTCATACTGCCTCTGATAAAAATTAGTGGTGATCTGCTACCATAAGCAATAGCACCCCATACCACAACTCCCACGGTGGTGTACGTGATGGTGCTCTCTGTCAAATTGTGGGTCATGACTTTCACCACCTCGCCTTTTCACTCTTGCCCGAAAATCGTGCATCTCCAGAAACAAACGGGATTCGTCACTAAAGACCACCTTATTCTATGCCCGCTCCCATAGAATTATTTATATATAATAATGGCTACTTTTCGAAAACACATTGTGGTCGATAATAGAGATTTCTCGGGTTAGTGTGAAAAAAATGTCAAGCTATATAATTACGCTCAGCTGTCAAGCCTAAATTATTGTGGATTTGCTATTCGCTAAAGAAACGTTACCACAAAAAGCCAAGCCGCCATCATCAAAATGTTAAATAGATACGGTCAACAAAGAAAAATCTTTCTGGTACCGACGACACAGCGTGATAAGTGTTACATCCTACGCAAAATGCAAGCGTTAAATCCTCACTTGAAAGTCCCGCAATGAATCATTCGTTTAAAATTCAAAGAAAAATGGTTACTCAAATGGCTCTCAACCACCAAGGAAAGCTTATAAATGTGACCCTGGGTTTCTTTAAATTGTCTTCCATCTCCTCGAACTGAGATAGAAAATTTCCTTAGTGACCACCATCTTGTGATGTCAATATCATTCACAAGGACTCACGCGCGTGACACTGCAAGCTACCAAAGATAAAAATAAAGAAACCTGTATTTTGAAGACTTATCATGTAAGGACTAGGTCCATGGATACTTATGCTTCACGTATTGAGATAATATGTATATCGATTTCTATAATACCCAAAAGCCATTTCCGATAAGGATTCTGCGGGCTTCTACTCCTCGCACTTTGAAGATAAGTGCAGATGTTGAAGGGTTATGAATGTGCATCAACTTGGAGTTTAGTTGTCGAGTTAGAATAAATTATGAACTTTTTAGTTACATATGAACGAAAGACTTTCTTCATTGTCAACTTAGCGTTTAAAGGATGTAGCGTAAGGTGCACGACCATTGAGAAGAAGGGGGGTGAGGAGGCGAGGCTGAGCTCTTCCAATGGATTCCTTTTCATACAAATCAACGAGAGGTATGACACTTCTGACGCATGTAAATGACAAACGTCGCCCAGGCTCTCATCGCGTCGCTTAGCCTCAGTGGACGTGTGCCTTTTTCAGAGACTCAAAACCGTTATAAAAGATGCAGTGAACGAAACTATGGATCATGGAAAAAAGAGCATCCATGCTTCCTGTACCATCGTCGAATGCATTTAGCGAAACAGGCCAAATACAAAACTTTATATCGGGTTACTCTCGCTGCGCGTTGTTATTAGTGTTCCCACATTTACACAATTCCAAATCACTCTGCAACTGAAAACGCTTCCAGCGGTGTAAGTTAATTCCTTGCTGTCGCTTGGAAACTGAAGTCACCGAAGATAGCAGACATATTAAAACTGCGCTTTGAGTGTATTCGGTGCCAAACGAAATTGGAAAGTGTAAACGATGTGACCAAGCTTACAGGTTTGTATCGTAGCTTGTTCAACGTTGTTGTGCTTCAATTTTAAGTGAAGCAGTACAGTTTATTATCCAGATATACCTGCGATTAAATTAGACCTACTGTTATGAAACAGATAACTCCCAGCATTGCAAGTTTCAACACTGTGGCAAATGATCGAATATTTCAATTTTGATAACTCTAAATCTTCACTGGGACAATGCAAAGAGTTTAGGTTGAGCACAAAAAATACATTGGTGATGACAAATATACCTAATTGGAACATTTGTGTATTTTTAAGTCATCTTATTTTCACATCATTTTTGAACTTTGTTGTCAACAATCTTTATGGAGACGCAATGTAATTCCATTTTTGGTCTGTTTCCAACATTTAAATTGGTGCAGAAATTCTCGTTTTCAGTTTCTTTCCGTTCAGTAGAGTTGGAAGTTTTAATCAAATAATACAGGGTGTTTCAGAACCATGGGATCAAACTTGTAGGGGTTATTCAGTGTAACAGTAGAAAACATTTGAGTATAGGGACCCATATCCGGAAAAGTGTCACTACGGCACTAATTAATTAATATTTTGAGAATTGTTTCAGATATTTCACTGATATTTAGTACGTAGTGGAAGCTAATAAAGTTACATATTTTTCAATGCAAAACTAATTTTTAACTTTAACAGTAGCGTGCGTACGGGTATCGACTTTGATATTTTTTAAGAAAAAAATGGTACGCCAATGTTTTTTTGCCAAATAAACATTATTTTTGAATTCCCCGTTCAATTTAAAACAAATGATCTCTATTGAATTGATTTCCTTTGATGCGCCATTTTTAAGTAAAAAAATAAAAACCGTTCTATTGTCCGAGAAAATTATCTGAAGGTAGACCTCTAAGTGTGAGAACACCTGAAATTGAGGAAGCAGTGCTGCACGAAGTCGGATAACATTCTGAAACTAGTGCGAGGAAGATCGCCAGACACTTAAATATTTGCCATCAAATTATTTGGAGAATTTTAGTGGATTTTTTGTTATATCCTTACCATATTTTAAGAGCACAGATATTACTTCCAATTGATTTTCCAAGGCGTGTGACCTTTTATCAGTGGTATCTTCAAAAAATAACACAAGATCCGCAATTTAAATCAATGATTCTGTTCACGGACCAAGCTAATTTTTCTCGAAATGCCATTCAGAATTTCCACAATAATCATTTGTGGGCAGAAGAAAATCCCTAAGCCGTAACCGAAACCCATTTCCAACACCAATTTTCGGTTAACGTATGGGCAGGAATTATTGGCAACCATTTTATTGGCCCATTCTTCTTGCCGGGACGACTTGACGAATAGACTTACCTCAATTTTCTTCAACAACAGTTGCCTTTGCTGCTTCATGATGTTCCGTTAGTAATAAGAAACAATATGTGGTACATGCATGATGGTGCACCAGCGCATTTCAGTGTAGCAGTTCGTAATTATTTACAAACTGTTTATCCAAATCGTTGGATTGGCCGCGGTGGGCCCCAAAAATGGCCACCAAGGTCCCCATACCTCAACAGTTTAGATTTCTTTTTGTGGGGCTATCTTGAGACACTAGTGTACATAAGTCCCATTAACACTGTAGAGGAATTAAGGGAAAGAGTAGTTGCAGCCTGTGATAGAATAAAAAACACTTCAGGGATATTTCAACGAATGCGCAATTCCATGAGAAGGGGGGCGGAAGCATGCATACTAAGTGAAGGGGTCATTTTCAATAATTTTTGTAACCATTTCGTTAGTTTTAATGTTATCTTTATGTTGTCAGTTGTTGTTGTTCATTACCCCTAATGTGTTTAATTTTTCCAATTAAATTGATAATAATTTTGCAAGTTAAACAATGGAACGGTTTTTATTTTTCTACTCAAAAATGGCGCATCAAAGGAAAACAACTCAAGAGAGATCATTTGTTTTAAATTGAACGGGAAATTCAAAAATGATTTTTATTTGGCGAAAACCATTGGCGTACTATTTTTTCTTAAAAAATATCGAAGTCAATACTCGTACGCATGCCACTGTTAAAGCTAAACATTATTTTTGCATTGAAAAATATGCAGATTTATTAACTTTCACTACGTACTAAATATCAGTGAAATGTCTGAAGCGGTTCTATAAATAATTAATTTTCATTTTTTTCCTAAAACTTCAACACCTCGAGTTTTTGTAAGGAATCATTTTTGGACCATAGTTTATAAAGCAAACCAACATTATTTTTTCATGAAGATTCACACCCTTAAATATTCTCATATCATTAAGGAACACCCTGTATAATCCTGTACGAACTAATGACAGCGTTGCGTGGGAAGTACAGAGTCAACTAAAAATACAACTTTATGGTCTATTATGTTTTGTTCATATCTTGTTTACTATACAAATGAACATCAAACTATGTTGCCCTTGGATAGTTTTTGCAATGAGTTAAAGTAATTTTATTGTTTTTTTTTTTTTGGAAAAAAGGTAAGAGACCAAAAGGTTGTATTTTCAGTTTCGTAGTCTAAACGAATACATGAAAACCACAAAAAAGTCATCAGCATACTTTTCCACAGAAAAGCCTCAACGCCTTGTTTCTCGGAAACGAAGCATCTGACATATTTATGTGCATACGATTTTTTTTCTTCAAACTGCCTAACAAATCACCCACTAAAGCTCACCCTTTTTTTGAACCAGGAACTGTTTTCTTTGTTTGATCTGAACTGAATAAATTGAAAATAAATAGATTGGATGAAACGAAGCAGTTGAATATCGAAAGATTAACTAACATCTTGTAATTCAGTACTTACCTTCATATCTTTTGCACTTTCCATATGGATATACTCGAAACACTAACAAAATGCAGTTTTAGTGATCTGTAAGTCAAATACGGCTGATTCCTACTCATGCTTCTTTCTTATTTTCTCAGTCGAGCGGATTCCCAGAGAGTGCTGTTCCGGCCATCAAATCACATGTCGGTGGCTGCCGCTGGTAGTGGAGGACCCTCGCAGTTCCAGTTAGTATACAGAAAGATTTATGGTTATGGATGAGTATAGCTTAGCTATAAATATACACCAGACCCGTAGCACGGCTTGTCAGATATGGAGTTTGATCCTCCTTCTATTTTTCATTAAATCATATATATATATACAGGGTTATCCAAATTAAGTGTCCACCATTAGTAACTTTGTTATTAGTGAAAATACAAAGTTGTTTGAATTAGCAAACTAGTAGCATTTTTAACGCTGGTAAAAATGAGAAATAAAAAAAAACAATTGAGAGTCGTTATTTTGATTTTTTTCAGTAAAATAACATTTTTTTAAATGGAAACCCCTGTATATTAAATTTTTTTCTGTTAAAGCATCAAATTTTAAACAAAAAAGCTTACAATAACTTTTCTCCTAGGTTACAAATTGTTGAAGTTGGCCTCCAATCTGAAACAATTAAATTGTATCGACAAACTTTATTTTCAACATCAACTTATAATCTTACAAAATACAATAACAATTTTTTTTAAAGAAGATGCTCGAAAACACCACCTTGTTCTTCAATACATTTTTGAGCACGTTTTTCAACTGCTCGAACTGTCTTAAGTATGGTCCTACCATCTATCTGGGTTATCTTTTCCCTAACTGCAGTCTTTAACGCGTCAAGGTTATCGTACCTTCGCTTGTAAATTTGGTTCTTTAAGTAACCCCACAAGAAGTAATCAAGTGGGTTTAGATCTGGTGATCTGGGAGGCCACTGTATTGGGCCATTTGTTCCTATCCACTGATCATTAAAAGTAGTACTTAGAAAATGATAAGTACCTCTGGAGTTGTGGGCAGGTGCGCCATCTTGCTGAAAATGCAGATGATGTCTACTTATAAGATCCAATTCGTCTAAGAAATTAGTCAGAATTTCTGACATAAATTCCACATATCTTTCACCAGTTAGGATTCCCTCATAAAAGAACGGGCCAACAATTTTTGAACCAATTATACCGCACCAAACGTTGAAACTGAAACGGACTTGTGGGCCTCTTGGATGTACTAACAAAAGATTTTCTCTTGACCAATAATGGTGGTTTTTTCTATTAAACATTCCAGAATTTGAAAAATTTGATTCATCTGTCCATAAAAGGTAACGAAAGTTATTTACATTTTGGCGACAGAAGCTAAGATACCAATGGCAAAAAACAAGTCTTCTCTCTGGATCCCCTGCCAAAAGCGTTTGAACTGGTCGGTACTTATACGGAATAAATTTGTATTTTTTTAAAATCCTTTGAACAGTACCATAACTGAAATTAGAGTCCTTGAGAATATCTGCTATTGAATTCTCACGATAAGCTTCAAAATATCCAATAACTGCAATTTCCGTGGCCTCGCTTATTATGAATTCTTTTTTTGCCCTTGTTTTAGCAAAAACATTTTCGTTGCCCCTAAATTTTCGATAAAGTCTCAGAAAATATCGTTCATACGGTTGAATGCGAGCGGGATATAATTCACTGTAGTATTCTCTTGCTCTCAAGGAGGATTTTCTGCACACTAAATAGCATTCTAACATATCAAACTTTTCTTCATGGGAGAACATTTTTCTTTAAATTAATGACACAATAAAGCTTATAAACAAGTATTTACACTAATGTTTGACATTATTTGATTTTATCATTGTTTTCCAAAGCCTTCTAGTTGCGAGTATGTGCAGTTTAACAATTTGTCGCTTATCTTAATGCTGTCAAATCGCGAACGCCATGTTGTTTTCATAGCCGTCTTAATATTATAATACTGCAAATAATTAAAAATATTTATCGTTATTTTGACTTTATTTTTGACTTTAGCGGAAAAGTCATTATGAACTTTTTTGTTTAAAATTTGATGCTTTAACAGAAAAAAATATAATATACAGGGGTTTCCATTTAAAAAAATGTTATTTTACTGAAAAAAATCAAAATAACGACTCTCAATTGTTTTTTTTTATTTCTCATTTTTACCAGCGTTAAAAATGCTACTAGTTTGCTAATTCAAACAACTTTGTATTTTCACTAATAACAAAGTTACTAATCGTGGACACTTAATTTGGATAACCCTGTATATATATATATATATTAAATTATAATCAACACACTGTTACTTAAAGATTAGTCGATAGCTCGTGAGATTATTGCTTGTAATATATTGTGAAAGTCGACTGTCCTCCCTCCCTCCCCCTCTTCAGAAACAGCTACGTTTGGAATAAGAAAGTTCATATACAACTAATAAATAAAGAAACGAAGGAGGAGAAGATATTTCAAATACGCTTACGTGTGTCGTATACATATGAAAACTCTTCTGAATTGTTGCCGTTTAATTCAACAATAAATTTCACACTTTCTCCTCCATTTGTAACCTTCGGGGTAGTCTAGATCTTCTACAGTGCCCAACTCGACGTTCCTATGAATAGCCTTTGTGTATAAACAAATCCAGTAGTCGCGGATTGGAAACGTCCACGAAAACGATCTGAGCACACACAGGAAGCATTAGCAACACCCTACAGACATCAAAGTTCGTTATTGGTATAGCGGAGTTGCAGTTTCAGTTTTTCAATCCTCCGGTCTATAAGCAAACAACTATGTTTACGTAGATGGTGCGCGGCGTCTTGGGTGAATACTAATGCATGTCGTAACTTGCCAACTGATGCTTTACTGAAAGCAGGAACAGATCTGGTATCATATATTATTACATTCGTAGTTCATTTACGCCCAGACAAAACACAAAATGCCCAAAAGCGAGATGAATAGAATAAATGATTATTTTTTTAGAAAGCAGTGCACATACTTTTCATAATTCTTTATTCGCTGGAAGTTCTTGAAGAATCATCGTCTGAATGGTTAATATTGTAGCGTTTTTCTGGGTTCTTTTGGGTGTGGATTAAAACAATGGATTCCACAAAAAGAAATGCACTAATTTATTTAACTGGATAAAACATTTAAGTCTGACTAATTCTTATGTCACCATTTACTGCACTATACTTCACTCCGCTCTGCTACTCTACTGTATTCAGTACTCTCTGCCTCCATCTCCCGGCCGCCGAGTTATATATAGTCCCAATTGCTACTTCGAGAAAGAACGAGTGTCCCACAAAGCGACATCTAGAATGTTGGAGATAGAAGGCAATTCACTGTCACGGTCCTCACAGACGCCGCCAGGCGGCTTGTGCGCTCGTGGTTCGCGTAAAAGCAGAGATCGGTCATTAAGCTCTGGCGAGTAGGAGACGCGCCCAACAGATGGCGCTATTTGTCACAATATTAATTATTACAGGTTCCGTTTGAATATCGGTCATATTTTCCAGATCCCACATCTTTGTTTCGATTGTCTCTTGAACGTGACGGATGCAATTTTTCCAGTGGTTTGCCGACAATCTGTTGACAGCTTCATAAAACAAATTTTTCATGACAGATGAAGATTCTATTGTTTGAAGCCACATAGTTTCTTTATATTTGTCCAAATAATTTCAATGGGTTTGAATTAGCAGTGATAAGGGGGTAGTTTTTTGGTTTTTAGCCATTTTGTCAATAACATTAAGATTATATTCATATTTGTCCTGCCTGACTAGATGGATAAGTTCTGCTTTGACCATGTTTTCATTGAAACTAATGCCTTTTTTCAAATGAACTCCCGTCCATTTCTTCATGGTAGTCGGTCGTTTTGTTTGACTCAAATATGTAACAAATCGTTTTCCTTGTCCTGGAAATAATTATTTCATACAGTATTCAAGAAAACTAATCATAGTGCAAGCAGTGTATCTAACCGGATTAGTTCCAAATTTACCAAATATACAGGGTGACTTCGAAGTTGAGTCATTTATTTTAACAGTGAGTAGATCTGATCAAAAGAAATGTTTTTTTCCTTTACCATTTTTCTGGCAAAATTAAAGTAACAAAGTTATAGCCCTTTGGAAGTTTGAGTACCGCCCTGTCTCAATAACATCATGTGCTCGTGTTTGGCAACAACGGATATAATCCACCTTATCGGTTCATCGCATCGGAAACAAAAAAGCGAAAGAATTTGGAACGATGTTTACTTTATTCAGTTCAGTTATACATACACTCAGTGTCAGTCGCGTGTGAATAGTGTCTGTTGCGTGGCTTAAACGAAACAAAAAATGGCACATGTTTATGCGGATCGGTTTCCCAATCGAGTGCAACCAACCCCTCGTGCCTTTGTTAATAGTAGTACAACGGGCTCGTGAATCAGGTGACTTCAGACCTCACAGGGGACCTCACGATCAAATACAGGTCCGCACTGAAATACTTGTCGGGAGGATACTTTATAAAACAAGGTAAAAATTTTTTTTTATTTTTTTTTTTATTTTTACACACATATTTTGGTTTATCTTCCTTCTACAATCATTATCTGAAAATTAATGACTCAACTTCAAAGTCACCCTGTATAGCTAAGCTTAGTGTAGCTATGTTTTCAGCGTAGGCTCGTAGATTTAATTGTAGAGTCAGTCCATAGTTTAGGTTTTGAATGCCCTGCATTTATCCACGTTTCTTCCAAGTAATAAATCTTCCTGCCATGTTCGCGGCATTTTTTATTGATTTTAAATAATTTCTTCTCTGTAAAATAATCTCTTGACTGGCCATCAAAATACTATTTCTGCCCCGCAAAATGAAGTTCTTTGAGTTAACTATAGAATGTGGTCCTTTTGAAATTAGGTAAGTCTTCATCACTATGGTGGGAAGTTCCTGCCTTTCAAAAAATTGATGGACTTTGCGTCAGATGGCATTCCGACCAAAGTTATCAACTGTATCCAACAGCTTCGTGTAATGCGGCTTCTTGTGTGGTTGAGACATTTTTTTTTATATTCGTTAACAATGTTGAAAAGTGTCTTAGGACATAAGCCTGTTTTGCTCGCCACACGTCTTTCAATACCATGCATTTTCATTTCAGGATGCTCTAACATTTCGTTTTTATAAACATTTAGGACAATTTCGTCTGCCTGAATATTTAAATTTCCCTTCTTGTCACGTTTTCGGGGAGGGGACATAACTGAATAGGAAGCGTGTCTGAAGGAAGTATTGGGAGAAATATTTTCAGTTTCATCTGCTGTATCTGTAGACAACTTGCTAACGTATAAACGCACGCTGTGTATGCACCGAATATAAACAGCAACTGCCGGCGTCGGCGTCCCGGCGATACCCCGAACCTGAGTGCTATCCTGTCGAATCCTGCACTTGTTCGTAGTTTTATGGCCGGACGACCAACAGCTATTGCAACGCATGGCGGCTGCCGCTTTGCCGCGCTGCGTCTTTGTTGTGCCATGACGTAAATGGACTACGAATAGGGTATAGATTATTATGAAACTCAGCTGTACGTGTCTACAGAAAAAATTGCTTGTTTTTACAAGAATTAGATGTTGTGGAAAAAAGTCCTAAATATCAACGACACCTTCAATACTAAGACTATTCTGCAACTTGATTTTTTAAAGGCTGTTTTGTCGCTGAGAGTTAACTTTTTATTATAACGTGATACGAGGAACATTTAACATTTCAATTTTCCGCGTCATTGTCAGTCGTGCACCAGGATCGTTTATGTAAAAATTGCATAACTACAAAAAGCCATATTGTGGAGAATGACAATAGAATAATGTCGAAATATCAACGCTTTAGGAGATATTTGAATCTGGTAATCGAAAACCCATTTGAGTTCGTTTATTGGCTTGCACAGGATACGCATATTATTTTGATAGACGGACTTTGCAATGCACGTTGGTGCTACCAATCTACCACTTATGTGGCTGCTGAGGCTACACTTACTGTGACGACACTTACTGACTACCAAAATGCCAAACGCGCTCAGTGTAACCGTTTTCTTCTGACGACGTACTCGTCAGAACTAAATTTTATCAGAATTCGCATCCATAGTAACCGTAGCCTTAGAGACCAAGTAGTTTTTGAAAAAAAGTAGACAGAATATATGACTCTATACGAAAGCCAATGCCGACGTATAAAAAGTTGTGGTATCTTATCATCTAATGTTTGACTTTACGTTTCTAATTACACTGTAGCAATCAATTTCATTTCACGCTACCTTTGACTAGGACCAATAAACTGTGTAGTTAACAATAGTATTATTTATTCATGACATAAAACACCCATGTATTTACTTTATAGAGACCATAAAATGCAACAATTGAAGAGAATGGGCGTGGGTTCCAGCGAAGAAGATGGACTCCATACAGTAACAGGTATAATTATTTTAAATCTTCATACGTAGGTCGCATATATCTTTTGTTAGAGACATATTTGGATTCAAGAGCTGAAAGGTATGCATAGTATACGTTATTTCATATGAAAAAAATTCATTTCGTTTACAGATCTTCAGGCGAACAACCTGAAGATGCCCGGCGAGAAAAAAGGTATCCTGAAAAAGCAAGATTTCAACGTTATTGGTTGGGTGGACAACATGAGAGGAGAAGGTGTTTCATCGGCTGCGGCTGACGAGATCATGACCCAAGCTGAGGAAAGTATAGCGCAGCTGATGGCCGGTCCAGGGGCTCAGGTAGGTTCACGGAAGACAGCGATTAGAACATTCACCGCTCAAACCACGCACTTCCTAGAGTCTTTTTACGAGTATCCATCACGTCAAACGTGAGAACTCTCAGCTAATTATCTAAACTGAATCCTTTTTTTTTTTTTTTTTTTGGTGAGGGGGGAATGCGTTTACCACCATACCATAGCCCGAGCTACGGCGTGTGTGGGACTCCAGGGTCTTGAGGAGACCACCTAATACCCACTAAACCCTAAACCTCCGCGTGGCCCGACTCATCAGCGTCTCGGTAGGCCATGTGTTGTGCGTGACCTGCGGTCTGCTACAACGTCTCCTCATGTGTTTCAGTCTCTGGGAACGCCGGGTTGGTTCCCTTTACCTCGCACATTCTATCGATGTCGTTAAGCGATCATCGATAGAGGGTCTGCTAGGTTCTCTTGAAACTCTTGTTTTCGAAAAATCAAGAGTTTCAAGTCCTCTTACCAATATGTTGTTCCTGGTTCCTGGTCCTGAATGGTCATGGTCCTGGTGGGTCCTGGTCGTGGCGGGTCCTGGTCCTGGTTGGTCCTGGTCCCGATGGGTCCTGGTCCCGGTGGTTCCTGATCCTCTGCATCCACGCCGTGAGGGGGGAGGGGGAGCAACCGCGGGTTCTTCTAGTCTCCTAGTCAAGGTTCCAGTTAGCGGGACCTTGGTCTAGGGTACCTGGTTCTGCGGTTGCGAGGCCTCTCGTCCGGATCGTAGTCCATGAGGAATCGTAGCTGCTCGTTCGGGTGGTCCTGAGCTTTCTCGAAGGTCTTCTCCGCTTTTTTCCTCATGTACTCGTGGATGGTGTCCCAATGCAGGTCTCTACGCAAGGTTGAGTTTCTTACGTAGGATGGTGCACTGGTGGCGATCCGGAGTAGCTTCATCTCTAGAGCAGCAAGTCGCTTGCGGTAGCTGGGGGCAGCGTACCCCCAGACCGCGGAGGCGTAAGTGAGCTGAGGTCTGGCGATGGCCTTGATCAGCCGTAGCTTGGTCGCTAGCGGCATCCGGCTGTGTCTACCCAGTAATGGGTAGAGTTGAGCCATGGCTGCTCTGGTCTTTGCGATGACAGCTTCTATGTGGGCTTTCCAGGTGAGGGACTTGTCAAATACGATCCCCAGATATTTGACTTTATCGCTCCACTGGATATCTTCGTCGAAGATGGATGCTTCGAGAGGTCTTGCAATCCTTCTTCGTTGAATGAAGATTGCCTGCGTCTTCTGGACGTTGATGCGGATTTTCCATTTCACGCACCAGTCCTGGATGTGGTCCAGTTCATCCTGTAGTCTCCTACGGATGATCTCGGGTCGTCTATGCTTGGCGGCTATAGCAGTGTCGTCTGCATATAGGGCCAGCATTGTGTCAGCTGTCTTCGGCACATCGTGAGTATAGATGTTGTAGAGCAGGGGGGCTAAGGCTGACTCCTGGGGCACGCCTGCTTCCAGCTGTCGTCTTGTTGAATGGCATGCACCAATCTTCACCGTGAACCATCTTTGTGTTAGATAGCTCTGGATCAGTTGGCACATGTTCGCATCGATTCCGGCGGCTTCCATTTTGGCGATGAGTCCATCGTGCCAAACTCGATCGAAGTCTCGTTCCACGTCCAGCAGGACGAGACCGGTTGCCTCCTAGAGATTGAAGCCGCTGGTGATGTTTTCCGTCAGTCGTAGCGCTTGGAGTTCCCTGTTGTGGGAGGATCTGAAGCCGAATTGCTCTGGGGGGAGAAGTTGCAGTTCTTCTGCCTGCTTCTCTAGTCGAACGGCGATAGCCTTTTCGACTACTTTGCCCATCGAGGAAACCAGGCTGATGGGCCGGTAGTTCTGGGGCAACTTCCGGTCCTTGCCTGGCTTGGTGAGCATTAAAACCTGGGCTTCCCGCCACCACCGCGGAACTGAATCCAAATTCAAGATGAGATGTAAATAATAACAGTTAGCGCGTGATCTCTCGGTAACAGGTGGGGACAACGCCTCTTATTGGTCAATTCGCCATTAAATTTCAAGCGGTCGCATGGCGGAATAATGCACGGGGCAGAGGCAGGGCAGGCAGAGTTGCACTCAAGCCACCGTCCGTCGCGTGTATCACTGCGTGCTCGTGTTTTCGTATTCACGCTTGGTTGTTGCTGTTGTTGTTGTTAAGTGTATTTGAGTAATTTGTTAAGTTTCTGTTTCTGTTAAATACTGTCATCTTTGTTTTACAACACGTTGGTGGTAGTCCATCATTCGGAGGTAGCCCTGAATGCGGCCCTGTACGCCGTCCTTGCTTTTGGCAATCACGCATCCATTCTATCTTCAGTGTAAATACACTATAGTCACATTTCAAAATAGCTCATATCGATAAGTGACAGACAACTCTGACGGATCTGTCAGCGCTAGATCTGTAGACAGAGTCGGATTTGGTTAATGTATTTTGTACGCAACAGATTCATACTTCCTAAGAACGTTTTTTTTTCAGAAACGTTTCGCTACAAGCAAAATTAATACTAATTATCGTGACTACATTCCCAGCCTAATAGTCTAATCATATTAGACAAAAATACCCCTGGTTTGCAAAGTAATTGTAAGGTCTGATTTTATTGCTGCAAGTTGGTTAAGGGGCTATTCAAAACATGGACGCATAAAATGGGTACACCAATTTTTGTGGAAAAACTTATGAGACCTACGAAGTGAGACCACACGTTAAAAGATCCGACTAATAGCAAAATAGTTATGGCCGAAAACTGGGGCAAACGGCAGGTTTGGCACTTGTTGGTAATGCGACGATGGTTTCTCGCAGATATTTGAAATTGTTCAAATTCGCAAAATTCATACTTCTAAATAACCACAACAAAATTGGAGTAGATTGGTCAAGTCGTTTTTGAGAGTTTCTAATTGTTTATCCCATGACAAATGTTTTCCGACCATCACTACTAGTTTATTGAGCAACATACAGGATTAGTTCAAAGGGCATTTTATAGCAAAAATACACTAGTTCACCTTGCCGATAAAAATCGCAAACCATTCTTGAAGATAAATGATATTTTCATGCAAAAAAGGATGGGTTACGTTTTTTCTTCTAAACAAATTCAAACATTTCGTATTTTTGAGTAACTCGCAACAAAAGTTGATAGACACATCCGCTTTGTTTTAAAATGTGTATAGTAAGTTTTTCTAATATCGTAGCGCATTTGTTCTAATACTCACAAATACGAAATGTTTGAATTCGTTTAGAAAAAAAAACGCAACCTTTGTTTTTCGCATAAAAATAACATTTATCTTTCGGAATGGTTTGTGATTCATATCGGCAAGGTAAACACGTGTATTTTGCTATTACCTAAATGCTCTTTGAACGACCCTTTATATTGTTCAATAAACTAGTCGTGATGGCCGGAAAACAGGTGTTTTGGGTTAAACAACTAGAAATTCTCAAAAAACTGCTTGACCAATATAATCCAATTTTGTTCTTGTTATTTAGAAATATGAATCCTACGGAGTACACGTCCTCGCACACGTCGGCAAACGTCACTTAATGGTTATTAAGGACATTGACTGTAATGGAGTCACATCTTTGGCTTTTCTGGTCAGGCTCATCGAGGCCTAGTATGGACGTTTCGGTCTCTTTGTCTCATAGGAGCAACTTAAGGTTGCTGGTGGGACGGTTGCTTGATTAAGCGCCATCTATGGGTAATGATAATGCAGAATTTTCTGCGTGTCATGCTACGGTGTAAACAGGAGTCGCACATCCTGTTTATCTGCGATACTCTAAAACTATGAGGTGCACGCCTAATGAGGGAAAGGGAAGTGATTTGTGAGTGTTGGAGCTCTGTGTCTAATCCTTTGACCGCGTATGGTGTTAACATGGACAATGTTCGACAATGAAGCTAGAGAGCCTTATGTCAGATATTGTCGAAAGTCATTGACCATGTTTACACCATACGTAACAATATCGCGCATAACCAAGCATAGCACACGATGTAAACGGGTACGGAACAGCATTTACGTACAGAAATATGATACTCTGAGGCTATCTAAGCGCTTGGCTACCTAAGTCCCCAACCTTTCCGTCAACGAACGTGCACTTTGGCAGACTATATATGGTTCTTCGAGGAGTTAGGAATCTGAGGCCATATAAACCTTAACTGAAGAACTAATCTTTGGGCCTAACATAGATCGACACGCAAAAAACTTGACACCTCTTAGTCGCCGGAATGCCCCTTATTTCCTCATTCATCCGTTCAAGGAATCCTCAACTTGATTATCGCTTTTGATGAACATTACCACCACGCGGCACAAATCAGCAACCATATGGAGTCTCCTATAAAAAAGTTGCTAATAATGCTACTTAATGTTCATTTTAGACTTCCCCTATGCCATAAACCAAAATGTTCCTCTATAGCCACATATCGACAGACTTGGCAAACTTTGACAAGCCATCACAAGTTCAAACGTTTGTTTAGATCGTTTGGCTCGTCTTGCATAGACCTGCCAGCGCTTGCAACCAATCCGACTGGGTGTCGGTTTTGGATCAAAAATTAAAGAGATTTGCAGTAAGCGTTTGCAAAACTCTCACACATTTATCTGAACATGTGCACTGGTAGGGGACAGATCCGCGCTGTTTGATCTAGAAGAAAGATGCATAATAATAATAATCTATATTCCATTGTACAATGACATTACAAAAATTGTATAGCCACTACAAAATGAAATGTTGCGTCACTATCACCATAACTGTAGTAGTTTACCTGAGACCTTTTTTTGTGATACATGGTTATTTATATTAAAACAGCTACAATCTTAAACTATTACAACTCCCATAGAACTCATATGTAGTATAATGCTCTGACTGTACTAGAAATTGCTTAATAGTCTTTTTAAATTTATGTAAACTGTTTATGTTTTTAATTTTATTTGGTAGATTGTTAAACAATTTTAAAAACATGTAAATAGGCCTTTTTTCTGTGGAGGATAATCTGTGTATCGGATAAGTAACATTGTCCGTTCGAGTATCATAAACAGTTTGCACCTCAAGCTCAAATACTCATATACATAGATGGCATACATAGTCATGATTTTTTCAGTTTTAAACACCCCCCTGCAAGTTTCATTGAAATTTAGTCCCTTTAAAAGACATACTGCTCTTTTTTGAACCACAAAATTTTTTTGAATAAACCTATTGCGTCAACAAAAAATAATCCCATACTTTAGAACACTTTCAAAATTAGCATGGTACAATATTTTCATACTCGTATTATTTAGGTATCTTGATATTACCCTAAAACCATAGCAAATGGAATTGAGCCTCTTCAGCAGTTCGAATACATGTGTTGACCATCTAAAAATTCATCAATATAGATGCCTAACAATTTTACACTTTATCTCAACTGCAGTTGATGATCATCTATATCGATACATTGTGACTTAACGACTTTACTCTGCTTAGTTCTAAATAATGTTGCATCAGTTTTGGATTTATTCAGCACTAGTTTGTTCTCAGAAAACCATGTATTCACATTTCTGAATAAGAGATTCCCATTACCAGGGTTCAATTATGATATTTTACAATTACACTCTTGATTATCATTTGGTATAATTTTTACAATAAAAACAGGTTAAAGCCGAGGTAGCGACGGTTATGTTTCCCTGGAACACTACCGCATTTGCTCAGTCGTTTCTGGAAGTTTGCAGTTTGTGGCAAATAGGCTGTGGACTCGACATAGTAGTGGTGGTGGTAGTAGTAATGGTGGAGAGGCAATACCTGACAACTAAGCAACCTTTGACCATTTTTGTGAACTCCTATATAGGAGGTCTGTAAATTAAGTGATGAGACTGACATCGTAGCAGTCGATCTGGCAACACTGAAAGCGCGGGGCTTGAAGGGAAGACAGGGGAACATGTGATCTGCATTTAGTACAAGTTTGAACCCACTCGAGTCATTTGGTTGTCCGTAGCGATTTTTTTTTGTGAAACAGTTTTTCTTATTGTCTTCGAAAAATAGATGACATCAACTTTGAGGAGCTGTCAGGTTTCGCTTCAGACTTGACCAGAGTGCAACGCAAACTTTTGCTAAGCTTCAACAGACCTACAGAGATGGTGTTTTGTCATTAGTTAAGGTTTTTCGGTAATTTAAGGCATTTTCAAGAGGGAGAGACTTGAGAAGATGGACCACGAAGCGGAAGGCCTTCATCTTCAAGTACCGATAAAAATATCGACAGAATCGGGGATGTCATGCATTCAGATCGTCGGTTGACAGTCGGAATGATCGGGAAAGAGTTAGATTTGACTCACACCACCGTACATCAGATCAACAACAGCTGGGTGTTACATCACGATCATGCTCCTCATCACACAGCAATGTCAATACCAGTTTTTGGCCAGTAATAAGATTCCTGTGACCCTTCAGCGTCTTTATTCGCCTGATTTGATTCCTTGTGACTTTTTTCTCTTCCTGAAGTTAAAAAATCACCTCACGAGAACTCATTTAGGGACAGTCGAAAACATTAAAACGGCTGTAAGCTGAAGGCTATTCCAATATCGGAGCTCCAACACTGCTATGAGGAGTTTAAGAACTGTCTCCAACGCTGTGTTGGTTAAGAAAGTTATTTTGAGGGTGACAATATAAAACTGTAATTATATTTGAATAAAAAAAAATTGAAAAAAACACTCTAATCACTTAATTTACAGACCTCGTATCAACTAATATATTTACACATGCCTATCTACTAGTAATTGATTATTGAAAGACCAGCACCAACGATGCGAAGTACCTATTTGGCCTTGCAGCGATTTGGTGTATATGTTATCGGTAATCTGTATCAATTCAGGTATTCTATACAATGCCTAGACAATGTGTAGAATACCTGGGTTGCCAAGGCAATGTATGAAATATTATGAATATTATTATCCATTAAAGAGATACTTTACCTAGGTAATGAATACAATTCCTAAGGATTGTATAGAGTACCTGCTGTTCCACCGGCAGTGTGTAAAATAAATAGATCTTGGTCTAAATTTATCAATGTTAACCGGCATACCTATAAAATTACGGGCAAATGAAACAATATTATTTATAATCAACTTTATTATTTACAATTAGAGTTCTCCTTAAAAATAAGCTTTATGAAAAGGGTACCGAAAAGCACCTTTCTGTTACTACAGTAAAATCTCAGTAAAATTAAGGTGAAACTAAAAATTATTCTGGCTATAAGTAACACAATGTAATTTTTGTTGCTTACAAGTACGTAGGTAATTCGTATAAAAAACTTGAGAAATAAAACAATTCTGTAAAAATACACACAGTAGGTCTACTGCTTAGTCAAAATTTTAATTAAATAAAAAGATATTCTTACATGTACTTAGGAAAGAAAGCAATCCTCTGAAAATAATAAGTAGATCTACTGCCTAGTCAAAATTCTAATTAAGTAAGTAGGAAAATTATTTATTATTGTGACATTTTGAAGTGCATTTTTTATTTTTTCTAAACGTGCTATCTTTAGTAGTTGCTGCTTCTCTTTTAATTTGTAATTGTGAATAAAATCTTTCTCTCAGCTCAGGAATTCATTGACCGACTGCCATTTTCAATTAAGTAATTATTGCCTGCCTGCCGGTATGTACAACCCGTTCCTTGCTCTCGTTTTTGACATACATTACCGGCTGCGTATTCGGTATTGTATAGAATACCTAGGCAAAGTATAAAACAAATAATATTTCATACATTTCCTACACGTTTTAGGTATTCTATACATTGCCTAGGTATTGTATAGAATACCGGATTATACAGATTGCCGGTAACATATAGATGTAGAGAAAAACACAATAGCTATGACTCGTAATGTAAGGCACAGGCCTTTAAGCTGATGTGCCTACCCAGCACCAGACTCGCATAGTTCATGGGAACCTATCATTGCAAATGATATTGCGCCCCTATTCGTATCAGTATAAACTCATGTTTTTGCAATGTAGGAAGTGGAACGCACACTGAAGACCCTGAACGGCTATCACGAAGACATCGTCAAGGCGTTGCGAGTGGCAGCTTCGCACAGGGGCTCGGCAACGCCATCTGGTGTCAGCAGTACAGCTGGCCTCAGCGAAGAGCTCCTTCGAAGGAGTATAGCTCAATGTGCTGCCGGAGATGGGTATCCGGAGTACAAAAGAAGTAGTAGTAAGGAAAATGTTTGTGAGCAACAGGTAAGCGCACTTTTATAACTTAAAACTTTAATGTGTTATCAACATTTTATTCTAAAGTTGAGTTATTGAACTTAGCATAAATAACATAAACATAAATCGTATGCTAAAGACACAAAAAATGAAGATAAAGAACTCTTATTTCGATGGAATTTAGTCAATTTTTTCTAAAATATCTCTCAAACCAGAGGAAAAATTTACGATTTGTGTAAGATGGGCCCCTAATTTCGTTTTTGCATTTAACTTCGGGCACAAAGTTTACGATTAGGGCACAATTTTCACCAATCAAAAAGAAAGATTTGCGACCTAGTCGCAATTTCTACCAATAAAAACAAGGATTTATGCTTCGTTCGAAACACGGGTCAGACATGATACAATATCTAGACGGATACGATGGCAATTACTGAGTATTTTATTGAAAATAATAGTTGTACTACTTACCTGAGAGAGACAATTTTGAAACATGCTACAGTTTCTTTTCATGATCGACTAAAATTAACTATATATTGACAAAGTAAATTATTAAAACGTTTTTCTTATTTAGAATAATAATTTCATAACAGTTCTTTAAAACATCAAATTTTATTTTTTCCAAAATGTCTACGATACAGGAATTGCAGTGATTGAATATGAAAAATTTCATATATTTGGTTATTATTTTTATATTTAAAACAAAAAATCATCTTTTGCCACAACTACATAGAATTGAATAATCATTATCACAATTATTATGCAAAAGGCAATATAGATTTTCATTTACAAAATTGCAATAATAATATAACTAGCAAATCTATATTCCAGAAAGGATTACTTGAATTTAATAAACCAAATAATTGTATAAAGTCTACTTGTAAAAAATGTTTAAAAGAAAATTAAAGGAATACATATTTCATTGACAGTGAAAAATCTTAGAGATGCAAATTTTGTTTTTTTCTAAATATGTATCTGTATGTTATGTAATTGTTTAGTTTTTTAGAAGACTGTAATTGTAGCAACCAATGCTGAATAAATCTTAAACAAACAAACAAAACACTTCTCTTGGTCTGATAATTTTATGGTAGAAAATTGTACTCTCGTTAAAGGTCATTTTTTATAATTTCTCTCGACCGCAAATAGGAGAGGTGAACGTGACTTGGGGCTAATTCCGGTGCTCTCGTGTACGTGTTCAGCGGCCCACAGCCCGCAGTAGTAAGAAAAATTTCAAACCAAGTGCTGCGGTTTTCTCGGGTTGTGGAGATTTTGATAGAAATCGGCCTCCATTAGTGAGTTTTGTTGTCGAATTTAGCAGTTGTCACAACTGCACTAAGCCATCGAGATGAGGGGAACTGCCTGCATTGATACTCCGAGGGAATTTAAGTAGGACCTACGTCTGTGAGGAGCAGTTCCCCATTTCTGTGAACCCTCATTGTTCGAGGGTTCTACTTTAGGGTTCTATCACCTGCCTAGGTGTTTTTTTTATTCAGTTTTACTGGAAAGCATTTAGCTGGGAGGGTAGTTTAAAATAACTTTCATTTGATTGTCCTCCAGGACTTCATTTAATTTTTTTTTTACTTCTTTTGTTCAATAAATGTTTGTGTACCTTGTGAGTTTGTATCTCCTTCAGCGCCAGAGGCTCAACATCGATTACTTGTTATTTCTTTTCCTAGTTTTTTTTAACTAGGTGGTGACCAAATCACCACCTTTTGTATCCAAAATCCAGAGTACAGAGAACGACCTCCTGGGGGCTCATTAACTACCGACTGAGCACAGTTACATTCGTTTACCAAATTATATCTTAATTTACGCGAGATAACAAACAAAAATGATATACTCAAGCCAAACAAGATCATTGATTTTTGTTCTTGCTGAACAAAATTCCTCTTAATAAATTCTTTGAAGACATAAATAAGATTACTTGACTACCGGGCAAAGAACCCTGTTTTTTCTAATTGCTCTTCAGCTCAACACGTGTTTAGAGCTAATTCTCCTAGGTTTTCGCAAGTGGGAGCTAACGATACCGCTGGCGCCCTCTACTTGATGGTAGGGCAATTATGCCACCCCGAACCCTTCATTGGAATGGAATATATTTCACGGCAACAAAGCCTTCGTTTGCAACTTCTTTTAATTTAAACTTTTAACATTGATTGTTTATAGGTGGTGATAGAACACGTGGAAGAAGACGAAGATGAAGTACCACCATGTGGTCCCATTCGTATACGTAATCTAGAAGATCTCATTAGACAATTAGAACACCATTCGCGGCATATGAGTCCGAGCGGTTCCGAAGATATTCGAATGTCAGAGACTGAAGCTGATCGACATTATCGACAGGTAATATAAAAGGACACTTAACTTTATTTATCCAAGAAAGCCACAAAGCTAAAATAATAAGCAGCACATGTTCAGTGCGTGATAAGCAAGGGGAGCATAACTGTTGTTGGACAAAGCTCATATAAAGGACAAACGCTAAACCGGAAGGTAGACTGAGAAACGACACGGCGGTGCATGCAGCCTCGCCGGCCCAGTAACATGCTCGGCGGTCTAGGTCCGATCACGTTAAATATCCGTGAATATGTTTGGGTTTAGTTTATTTCTTCGCTGAATTTCTTCTATCCAAGCACCAGTGATCTCCAGTCAACGTATATAAACCTCCATGAATCGTAATCTTTGAGCAGCAAAATGATGCCACAAATGCACTCTTATATGAAGGGTACAGGCAAATAACAAGGAATGTCCTAATGAACTGATTTTGAGAAAAACACAATTGAAAGTCTAAAAGGATATTATTCTTGTTGAGATCAAAGTATGCAGTAACTTTTACTTAGAACTAATGAAATGTTTTATATCTTATATAATTTTGTCGTTTACATTGGACCTTTTAGTTATTAAACATATTTAAATTGAACAAAAACCAAATGCAACATTTTGAAACAATTAAAAATGAGGAACGTCCAATTCAGTTATCAGAATCTTTGGTTTTTGAACCATATTTTAGTTTTCTTCTGTCTCTTTAAACTGTAATGACTCAACCTTCTTTTAAATGAGTTAATGTGATTAAATACTTTTTGTTTAATCTCTGACGCATTTTTGTATGATTTTCTTACTTTTTTCTTTAATCTACTTGAGCTTTCCCTGTTGATTTTAAGCTTTTTTGTAGATATTCAACCGTTCCTTTGGTTATCCATGAATGCTTCAAAACGTACAGGCACATTTTCCATAACATTATTATTTATATCTTCATATTGTACCCTCACTTTATAGCTATATGCAGCTGTATGAAAATTAGTCTCATCTTCAAACTTGCTGCATTTTCCTCGTCTCACATTATAAACATTTGTCAAATATTAGTTCTGCTCCTGATACCAGCCAATAAATTAAAATATTTAATAATATTTTTTTTAAATATTTTGATTCAAAGTCAACCTGAAATTATTATACCGCAAACTTTATGCATAATGATTCAAAATTTGTAACCCAAAATGGAACATCACACACAGGACCGAATTTTAAGGGGGGTCTTCTATGTAACATTTTATCTCGAGAGCCTCATTAAAAAAAGTTTCAAAATGAAAATCTTTTTTTTAATATCTTCAAAGCCGTCAACTGGAATGTACTAAAATTGGGTGTGTGGACTTACCTATGTATTGACCACATTCAAAAGTCTTTACTTAAAATTGTAGTGCACCAGTGGCGGAGACAGAGGATTAGCGGCAATAGTACGCCAGTGTTTATTTTTTTTTCGAATCGCGCAATTTTTCGAATTTTACCTCCAATTTGCTACAAATAATAACTCTTGTGTTTTTTCCTAGAGTGCACTGTTTTCGTAAAAATAAAAATAAAACAAATTAGACCATTCATGAAGAGCCGAGATACAATAATTAGTTTCATAATAAAATAGGAGGCCGTGATACCAACTTGACGTTTTTTGGGAGATACTTTGTCAAAGTTATGTGTTATGCGATTATTATTGTTACTACTACCATTTTTTTGTACTCAAGTCAAAAGTTTCCTTTTTCCATTTTTGAGTGCCGTACTGTTTTTATTCGGAAAAATAATGCCACTAATCCCATGTATCTCCGCCACTGGTGCACAATAATTTTAAGTGGAGCGGGCAATACTTAGATTTAGATAAGTCCACCCAACTAACAATTATCACTCCTATTAGAGTTGCAAGAATGATTAAACAGTATTCCTTAAACAGCATTGTATACTGTAAGAACATTGGCAAAGCCCTCTTAGAACAGCTATACAAGCGGAATGGGCACACCTAATAGGACACTTCAGTCATTTAAGAGGTTGTATAAGGGCTGCAGGTAACAGTTATACAACAAAAGTGTAAGCCTCTTGCAGCCGTTATAGGACATTTGCGTCAGTGCAAGATTCAGTTTTTGTCAACTATACAACTATTCTGTTACGTGATTCTACTTTACTGCAACCAAACTATTTCTCATGTATTGTATAGATGAAGTGAAGAATATATAACTAACACATTACAGTCATCTTGTTTACTTACATATCGGCCATTGTGAGTTTCAAAGACATGTATATGATAAACTTCTATAATGCGATATAGGGCTATTGAATTACTTGCGCAGCAAATTTTATTGTGAATATCGTGCAAATTAGTTACGCAATTTCTACGGGCTTCGTATTTGATTCATATTTTGATGATGATCAAAAGTATGTCTAGATTCTTAAGTTGGAAAACTGAACTTATCTGCGTTAAATCTTCCACAAATCCTATATCTAGACACAATTACTCTAATGTTTATCACTGTATATCTGTAATTTCGAACTGGAACATAATTATTTAATATTAAATAGAGGAATAAATGTTTTCCCAATATGGCGGGTGGTTGTGTATAATAATGGCATCGTCCATGTTGTCTTTAGGTTATTAGAATATTTTGGTGTTGCCTGCAGGTGTTATACAATAATTTGACAAATGTCTGAAATGAAATACCGACGGAGTCGAATGACTTACCCAGAATTTGTACCAGATCTATATCTTCTGTTTGAACAGTTGATAAAACCTTTTGAACCAATATGCATGCGTTGTTTGTCTTAAAACATTGGTTATGGCATTTTAACAAAAATATGACAGCAGAAAGTTAGGTTATGTTGATGTATACCAACATATTTAGCATATGTACAGCCTTTAACAGTTACTAAACAACAGTTGTATAAGTGCTTCCGTTGGGAGCAATTTGTTGGCTAAAGTAGTAAATTGCACAGCAAAACAACAAGGCTCCGGTTTATTTTATAAACGTTACCATGGATGCCACAACACAACCATTTTGACTAACGTGCAAATATGCCGTACAAAATAGTTGTATAAACGTTTATGCAACAGTTAAAAATTTTCCCTATAAGGTATTGTATAACTATGCTATATGAATATTTTGAATACGTCATTTTAGAGCAAATATGTTGCAGAAAGCAAATTTGCATTCCACACAACATTAAGCCAGCATTTTGGTGTTCAGGCAACAACAATAGAGAGCTTTTATGGCTGAACGGTTGTATTACCAAAAGCTTATACCACTACTTTGATAGTTGGGCACTTAACAAATTTTAGTTTATTCCAGTTGAAGGTTTTGAAGATATTAAAAAAAATTGTATTTGATTTTTAAATTTCAACACCCCGTATCTTTTTAATAAAGCCCTCTTTAAAATGAGGTCCTATGTATTCATTTTTGGTCACGGCTTGTGAATCACCCTGTATAAGTTCTAACCTCATTTTGAACAATTCTTCAGTGCCGGTATGACATGAACATTCTCAGTTATTTTCGTTTCGGACATAAACAAAAATGTCTTTTTGGCGCCATATGCTTACTTATTTTGAAGGCTAACGATTGGAAATTAAAGTATCATAGACAAGGATTTGCTTCCAATAGGAAACTAAAAAAAATTGTGACATTCCCTATTCTTTATCTGTACTTCATATTGTCTTAACCTTAGACTATCTATACGTACAGTAGATAGACAACAAGATTACCTAACGAGCCTGTCTAACATCCGTACGAACTTTCAGGAATCCTCATCTGCGTGCAGCGAGAGTTCGCACCAGTCGCATCACCGCGAGTCGCGGTTCGTGTACGGCGGCAGTGGGCGGTACCGATCGGGAGCGGGCGACGGGAGCGGCGGGAGCAGAGGGAGCGGTCGGCTGCCCATGGGGTACCATCCCGCCTCCCACCATGTCGTCCAGGACGAGGAGAGCATCTACGAGACTGCCGATCACGATCGGGGCGAACCTTGTGGTGACACGCCCGACAGCGAAAGGTTTGTTTCTTACTCGTTTATTTTTTGAAAACTAAGAATGTACTGTAACTTCGCATAAATTGATTTAAAACGTACTTATTTAAATAATCGATCCCAAATTGTAAGAGTATTAAGAGACTATATTTCAAATAAATTGAATATAAACGCAGATGCACCTCAAGGATCAGTACTGGGTCCGATTCTATTCTTAGTGTATATCAACGAAATTTATAGAAACATATACGAATTAAATTAAAAAATTGACATAAGTCAAAATATTCTGTGAAAACTAGTACTTATATTTTAATGTAAATAAAACAAAATTTATGAGTTTTAAATGCTCCCTTGATTCAATAAATTCCCTTTGACGAGACTCTTCTCAAAATTAATTGAAAAAACAAACTATCAGGTAATAATAATAATAATTTATTCACATCAATTACAAATTGTGAACAAATTAATATGCCACAAAAGGAAAAAATCCTCGACGGTGGATGTCATGCTAACACAACATACATACAGGTTGGCCTAAATATAACTGACTGGTTTAAATTGCACGCCATTCTCGATACACCCGTTTCAGTAGGTGGTGCCATAGTAGCTATTTAAAGCACATGTATCCAATTCATCATGGAGCGCTACACGATCCCACAACGCGTCCGTATTGTTAAAACGTTTTACTTAAATAATGAGTCGATTGTTGCAATAATTCGAAAGCTACGACAAGAGCTGGGTATTCGTCGCACATCATTATGCACTATTTTAAAAAAAGGCTTTCATTTGCGGCCACACAAAATTCAGTTAACCCAAGAACTACAGTCTCGTGACAATGAAAGTCGCCGACAATACAGTCATGCAATATTGCAGCTTAATACTCAAAATAATCATGTTTACGGCCAAGAACCACTAAATCCTCGTCGAGTCACAGTTTGTTGCTGTGTTTGGTAGGTGTCTTCTTTGGAAACGCTGAAGATGAAAAAAATGGACGTATGTTATTTCATTCCACAAATATTCAAGATACAAACCAGTCAGTAACATATCGGCCACGCTGTATAACATAGCAGTTACAATAAGCTGATATGACTAAAAAAATATATAATATAAATGTAATATGTACATTAATTTTGGATCGTAGATTAGCAATGAAGAAAAGATATTTATATGTTATTTTTTTATATATTACATGATGTTTATATCAGTTTTCAATAGCCACTCGTATAAATCTATTTTTAATAATGATATTCGGTTTTTTCTAATATATTTTAGTAAATTATGATATAATTTTGGACCTAAGTATATAGAAGATTTCAACATTATTTCTTTTTTTGGTATTGCGATAATAATTTTATATTTATAATTTTTTTAGTATACCTAGAATTTGTTTATTTGTTTATTTTTATTTCTAGTATCATATTCATAATTTTTATAAATGGTCGAATGATTGTTTAAATGGAATTCTAGTAGGTATAACATTATACCAAAATAATTTTTTATACAGGGTGTCCGCAAAGTTGGGGTTTTCCTTTTCAGAAACAACTACCCTTGAAATAACAAAGGTAATGTGTAGTGAAACGAGGGAGACCAAGTAAAAAAAAAATAAAGGAAAAAGTACTCACTCTCCAGTTGACGAGAAGGGCTAAGTACGTCTCTGCCCGAAATCATACCGCTCCAACAGAAAGTGAAATCAGCTGATGCGCTACTGAGCAGGCGCAGGCAAACAAGGAAGGCGAAATGTTGCGTAAAAAGTCTAGGTATTGTATCCCGTCCAATCGATTTGGGAGAATAAATGGTCCAATGAGCATACCGTTCACCTTGCCAGCCCAAACATTCACCGAAAATGTTTGTTGAAAATGCGCCCGACGGACAGCGTGCGGATTTTCTACTGACCAAACATGAGTGTTGCGAAAGTTATTCACCCCATTACGCGTGAACGTAGATTCGTCTGTCACCAATATGCACTTCAAAAAGTCCGGATTATTGTCATGTTGATGCAACAGCCACTCACAAAACCGCACTCTTGCTGGAAAATCGTCAGGTTGAAGGGCTTGTACACGTTGGACGTGAAACGGATACAGCCCCTCTTCACGCAGCGTTTGCCACACTTTAGTTTTTGATACTTACACTTCTCTAGCCACGTCTCTAGTGCTTGTTGAGGGATTCTCGTCTACGCGATTACCTCTACACGCGTGACCGTAACCGTCAGTTAAAGGTTGCATACTGACCTGACACACTGACCCCGACCCAGTTCTGTCGTCGGGTTGAGCTAGTGTCCTAGTACCACTCGGGGATGTCGCGGCTACAGGACGGTATTCAGATATTTTTGATGTTGCAGAGCCCTTTATCTCGGTTCCCTTAAGACATTGGTGTATATGGTACTAAGAAAAATTGCTGATGTTTTCAAGATCTACACGTCGTGTAAAGGAAAACCCCAACTTTGCGGACACCCTGTATAACTAAAAGCAATCCTAGAGCCACATGCAGGCCTTTATTCCTAAATCTGGAAATAATGACTATTTTAAAAATAGCAACACTTATTTTCTTAAAAAAAATATAAAATGAAACATTAAAAAAAACGTTTAAGATCTTGAACCAATAGTCCCTAAGTCAACACTTTTGGAAGATTCAATAATAAAAACAATTCAAAAATTTACACGTACCTTCCGAATGCTATTATAACAATCACCAATGTGAAGGAGTCAAAACAAAAATTCCACGACCTGCTTTGGTGGATCATATCTCAGATCAGGTCATTTTTTTCCTGAGTACCTATGGAGGCATGACACTTTGTGAAGGTTTAGGATTTGGTTTGGTCTGGAGACGCGCTCAAAGTTTGTCATTGGAAAACATTATTATATAACTAGAGCTCTAGACTAAAATTGTCCAAGGAAAATAAAAATGATCTTCAAATTCCGATATAATAATTCGTTCAGTGTCTTAGTCAAAAGTGATTTATTCAAATTTGTTTACTGGTTTATTGTGCTGATAATTCGAATGCCTTCCAGATCGAAAAATGCTCAAAAATAAATGACATTTTGTATTCGGGCCTCTAAATTGGTCAGATAGGGCTTTGGCTCCAATTTTCCATATGTTGGATAAAAATTAGCAATTGTCATGATACTGGTGGGAGGGTCCTGTCTCATATCGGGCTCATTTTTTTTCTGAAGAGACCCTGTAAGGGCATGGACAAGGGCATGTTTTAAAATATCAAACTCCTAGGACCAACAGTTTACTCTGGACCCGTATTAAAAATTTCGAGTTTCGGTAGAAATGTGAATGTTGGACTTTTTGGCAACATTTCAATATTTTCGCTACTCCTGTCAGTGTAAAGCATTAGCCTCCACATTATGCAACTATTCTAAAGTAAAATTGTCTCACGAATTCAAAAATATCCTTCTAACTGCTATCTGAAAATTCATTCGTCAAATATTTCAATAAAAATAATTTTTTGTTTTTCTGAATTTTTCAGTTTTTTTGGGCCGACAATTTTAATAACTCCCGAAAGAAAAATCACAACACTATTGTACTATGAGTAATTTTGTTCTCGGACCTCTAAATTGATCGAATAGGCCTTTAGATACAATGTTCGGTATGTTTTACCATTTTCGTCATGCTAGTAAATTGAATATCTGGCTCTCTCTATACCAGTTCGCCGAATTTGATAAGAATGCCTTGTTAATGGATGAGAAAATTTAGAAATCATGAGCTTATCCACTTGAATCCAACTTTTCTAGTGACAGTTTGAGTACAAAAAGTCTAAGAATACATAAAGAGAGGACGCATATCTCAAGAATACCTGTATCTGTACTGAAACCTACACACCTGAAAAGATATTTTTCAATTGGTATGCCATAATTCATTTGACTCTACTTCATATCTACGAGTATATATTGCAAAACCTTTATCGAAGCGCAACGACAGAAACTATTTTATTTTATTTCCATGTTTTGAGGTGAGTGAATCTGTAACCAATACAAAACACGTCAGATATGAACAATGCTGTCGGTGGATAAGAGATGCTAGTCTAATCTACTTGACTTCATTTTTATCAACATAATATGCAGTAGCCTTAGTCAATCAACATGAAAACGTATATTGATTGGCTTAACTTAATGTTACTCATAATTTGAAAACTACTCAATCTGCATCTATCTGTTTTTTATTTTAATTATTCAATCTGTCTCTGTCACTATTTGTAGTGACAGCAATCTTTATCACTTCAATCGAACAACTCTGAAAACATTGCATTTGGTCCCTACTGTATATTTTGGCAATTGGAGATACGCGATATTTTTACATTCTGCTTTCATTTTACGGAACTATAGAATGCACCATAAGCCTGTTAAAACATTAAGATGATTTAGCTAAGGAAAATGCTATTTAAAATTCAAATTTCACCGCGTTACCAAACTTACATCGAACGACGTCACTCCTGTTATCTGTCGATTCAAAATCATCACTGTCATCTCACAGCTGTTATTTTTGGTGTTTTTTAGGCAGGCTTCCTAGTTTACCACAACTATTGGTTACTGATTATAGTTACTGTTAAACAAAACAAGGACACTGTAGTGACTCTCTTTTCATAGTCAACAATTTATTCATATATATTCATAAATACTTTTACATCTTCCCTATTAGTGAATCTGTATCGATGTATAATAATCTGCCTAAAGCTTTCCTTACGAGTTGATTCGACATTTATCTTTCCTTGTAGTGACGACTTCATCCAAGCGCAACAGCAGCTGTCACGTTGGGCGAGTGATGACGGCGTTAGCGTGGCAGGTGCCAGCGGCAGTGGGGGTCCGTCCTCAGGGAATGCTGGCGGCGCAGTACCTCGCGAGTACTACCCCTCCCCCAGTAGCAGTACCAGCGAAGAACCGCCCAGTATCGCACGTGCCCCCCACCAAATGCCTCCCGGCCCCCCGCCTTCCGTCGCGCATCCTGATCACGCTACTATTCATAGGTACGCGCGACATTACGCCTACCGCATAGGTTCGTCACCATTTTCACTACTTAGGTTGTAGGGGAATACTGCTCACATACGGAATTTGTCCACTTTTGTATGTGTATACTGTGAACAAGCAATGCTAGGAGCGTCACACAATTCGCGAGTTGAGTTTAATAGATCTATCTGATGTACAATTATGTAGGTCCATTGATACAGATTAACTGTCCTATGTGCTTCACAAATCACGTGATCAGTTTGTCACGTTTTTTCTTAAATCTAATTTGAATAATTGGTCGCCCACTGCAATTTAGTGAAAAAATAATATGAAAAGAATGAAGCTCGTTATAATAATAAACTTGAAAATGAGTTTTGAAATATAATCGACTCGAGGACTACTTCGTTCTTTTTGCCAGAAGGTTGAGCTCTGAACGTATCAAACTGTTATTACTTTTGTCGTTGCAACCACCAATGGTTTGAGTTCAATGTGTACGAGAAATAAATGTGTATAGACACACATTTTAGAAAGAGATAGAAGCCGGCTTATTAGCGAAGCTCATTACCACGTTGCCTAGCAACGCTGACACGGCAATTTTTAATTGTGTCGAGTCTGTTTAGGACCGATTCCGGCTCGCTCCTAATGGCGCTCCACTTTAGGTCGAAATTTAAGATCAGGATCGCCACAAATTCAGCAACTTTGCATCATTAGTTCGCTTGCCAACACCACATCTCGTACATTCCAAGGGGAGTGTCGTCTTGCTTAGAAATGGTTTTCACCTGCGTACATGTAGGTAGTGGCAATTTGTATTGCGTAATGGTATTTGTTACATTTTCCGACAGCTCACTGTGGCAAAATGTAATAATAACCGAGGATGTGTTGACTTTACGGGTAACACCATCGGTGGAAATCAAAGATAATTCTAAAATGAATTAAAACACTAAGTCGCATTAAAATTGAAATAATTATAATCCATATGAAAACAAAATATTAAATTAAATATTCAAACAGACCTCCTTCTTAGGCTTCACAGTAACCTAACCTATTGTAGATGCCTGTGCGAACATTCTCTGGTGCAACATATTGGCGTGCGGGTATCACGTATCTTGATTTTTTTTGGCATTGTGCTGTTTTTTGACATTATGTAGGTTTTTCTACAAGATGTTAGCTAAGCACTTAGTTGTACGTGTTGCCTAAACGTCATGATGCTTGTTATCAATCTTTGGTTCTGATGTGATGTAAAATCTGCTTTTGAGGTGGCATTACTGGAGGTCTAAGCTGTAAGTGGAATGTGTTGATGATAATTTCATTGAGTTCTTGTCTCAAATACACTTAATTGAGATTCAAAGCGATAAATTAGTTGCACGGCCACTTTTTCTTATCCATTCTGAAAATTACCTATACAAATTTGCTGAATTTCAAAAATGAGAGAGATAAAAAATAATTATATTAACTGTACAGTGTACACTGTTGCATCACAAGCCATATACATGCTACCAGTAGTTACAAACAACGCGGGCGCGGTGATGATTTGCCGTAATTCTCCTCAGTTTTTCGTAATTTATAACTTTAAATATAACCTCTTCAGAAAGCACAACATAAAAATAACCCGTCGGGCACAGCCAATAGATATACTTCATTGGCAGCATATTCAGTAATGATTTTCTCACGCAGCAAATATCACTGATTTTATATACATGCAGACCAATACATATAATCATCCAGATGCGATCTTGCTATTCAACCAACTTTCTTTTCAGAGATAAAAACTACAGACTAGACCACTCGGCCTCACAAAACACATGCAACCAATAATGCGTGTAGTTTAGTTGAGTGATTCCTCCATAGATAGACGTTCACAACGATCCTAGTGAGCAAACATGGAACGACTGTTTGCGCCCTAAAAACTACGTGGTTTGCAAGATGACATCTTATTGGTTTTTGTTTGATGTTTTATAGGTTTTTTACATGATACCCGGCGGATTGCATGACATTTCACGTCACCGTCGCTAGGCAATATGATGATGACCTTCACTCTTCAGCAGGCTTCTATATCTTCTAACAAGTGTTGTTGATACACACTTCTCGCGTTTCTCTCTCGTACACATTGAACTCAAGCGTTAGACAAATTCGGTTTTCCTTATATAGTACCTACTTCTCATGGAAGAAAAGGAGCAGAAGGCAAAGCGTAATCAACACAAAGGAATGATGGAAAATAGGACCTTTGGTACCTATGATACTTTCTAACTCTATCCACCTCGTGCGTTACAAAACCGTATGTGAGTAGAGACCTGTCACATAGGACCTTTTGTTTTTGGAACCCATATCACCCATTAGCTGAATATGTACAATTGTAGTCATACGAGTAGTAGTAGACGCATGTATGTTTCTCGTGATTAAGTGAACGTGGCTCGGTCAGTATTTATTGTGATCCATCAGTCTTTATCAGGGAATGTGACATTTATTGACCGATTAACCTTTACGTCAGTAATTATTGATGTACACGATCACGTAAATAATGCTCTGACATTCTACTGATGGTTCGGACCACAGTGAATACTGATCGTGTAACAAACACCTCAGCATGAAATAAGTAATGACCTTTTGATTTATATTATTATCTCATACCATACAGTGGTAAAAAAAGAATCAGAAATATTTCCTTCCAAAAATAGCACATGAATCACAAAATGCTTCCTTGCTGAGATCCAGAGTGTCGAATTGAATACCTAGGTATACCAGAGTAAACAACACATTGAAACGCTACGTCAATGGCATTTGAATATATTTGGAATCCCACTTGAGAATCGAAAATACTGGATTAAATTAGTATCCACATAGTTCCGTCAACATTTATAGCGCTGACTATACCCTATTTCACGAGTATCCATCACGCTTTGACAACGACTGATCTGAACAACTGATCAGCAAGTAACATTTTTGTGTTAGTCTGCAGCGTTGGCAATAATGACTCTGGTGTAAATCTAGTAAAACTTATTTGTAGCGTTTTGTTTTTGTATGCAAATTAACGTTTCTAAATAAAAGAGCAAGTACAAAATGAATCTGTAGCGTACAAAAACCCAAAACAAAATATGGCTCTGCCTACTTGGCATTGATGAATCCGTCAGAATTTAGTGTCCCGTGCCGATATGGGGAATTACTACCATGATCACGGTAGAATGACAGCTGATTATCTAATAGTATTTCAAAATTCCCCATACCAGCACAGGACACATAATTCTGACGGATCCCTCAACGTTAGGTAGTCAGAGCCGTATTTTGTTTTGGTTTTCTGTACGCAACAAATTCATTTTGTACTTGTTAACAGCTCTTTTATTAAGAAAAGTTCATTTGCATAAAAAACAAAACGCTACAAACAAGCTTTACTAGATTCACACCCGATTCATTATTGATAACGTTGCAGACTAACACAAAAATGTCACTTGCTGATCAGCTATTCACCTCAGTAGACGTCAAAGCGTGATGGATACTCGTGAAATATGGTAGATGCAATATCTTCGGCATGACGACTTGATTAACCTGTAATGTATTCATACGTATATTTTTTTGTATTAATTGACTTGCATACTTTTTTTAAATTATCTGCAATTTGCCTCAAAACAAACAACGTCGGTTCTATTTAGTTGTCGCTGCCATAACAGCTTATGGCCTGCTGGCCAATAGGAGCACGCGAATTTGAACGTCGCGCACAGGAGTTTTGTTCTGAGGGGACGTAAATGGGATATGAATACATTTTAGCTCCGTTGTCATGATTATTTGTGTACAACCTCAATGTCACAGTTTCAAAGCAGCAAAACGTAACATCGGCGATACTGCGATACCTCGTAACAAACAGTGATTAACACGGCATAATTTGGTCAGTTTTGTAGGAAGAGTGGACAAACTGAACATTTTATCATTACATTTTTGAAAGACTGAATTGTTGTTTTGTCTCGTGTCGTTTGAAGCGTTTTGATTAGTCAACGCGCTGACCTCACTGAACGAAGCTAATCGCTGTCAAGATCATATAACCCGAAAATTAAAATTTTGATTTTTTTGTATAGTAAAGCAGTTTGAGCCTCTTTTGGTTACGCGGTATTGCAATATCACCGAAGAATTAAAGTATATCTAGGCTGAATCATTATATTTTCAGATAATTTGTTCTTTGCTAAGAAAAAAATTACAGTAGAAATTTATAAAAGTGTACTGACGTAAATGGGATATGAATACATTTTAGCTCCTTTGTCATGATTATTTGTGTACATCCTCAATGTCACAGTTTCAAAGGAGCAAAACGTAACATCGACGATACTGCGATACCTCGTAACAAACAGTGATTAACACGGCATAATTTGGTCAGTTTTGTAGGAAGAGTGGACAAACTGAACATTTTATCATTACATTTTTGAAAGACTGAATTGTTGTTTTGTCTCGTGTCGTTTGAAGCGTTTTGATTAGTCAACGCGCTGACCTCACTAAACGAAGCTAATCGCTGTCAAGATCATATAACCCGAAAATTAAAATTTTGATTTTTTTGTATAGTAAAGCAGTTTGAGCCTCTTTTGGTTACGCGGTATTGCAATATCACCGAAGAATTAAAGTATATCTAGGCTGAATCATTATATTTTCAGATAATTTGTTCTTTGCTAAGAAAAAAATTACAGTAGAAATTTATAAAAGTGTACTGACTCATCACCAAATGGGCGTCGAGTAATAGCCAAGCAGTCGTGCTACTGTTGCGTCTTGTAGAACTTATAGAAGGTAGTCTAGTAGATTATTTCAAATCATTAAAAGTGTGGATGAAGCACGCTTTTCAAGAATTTTTTTTCCCAAAAGATTGTATTTTTTAGCAGTTATTTCCCCCATTATTTCCACCGCCATCTACCATATGACGTTGACGTCTGTGGATGTGTCATATATGAAAGGCGCTTGCCTGGGGTGTTGCCAGATTGGGCTCCGTATTTAGAAAACACGTATGAAAAGTGGAAAATTTATATACATTTATATTAATTAATGAAACACAAAAACAAAAAATTGAAACAAACAACAGTAGTAAAATTAAAAGTGATACTTACTAAGTATAAAACAAAAAATAACAAACAGCAATAAAATAAAAAGCAATTTTAAGTGATTACAAAAAACAAAAAATTAAAACAGTACTAAAACAAAAAACAATTCCATGTAATTATGAAAAACAAAAAATAAACGTAAAATAAAAAGCAATTCGGATGAAATGAAATTGTTTTTCGTTTAACTACTGTTTTTACTTTTTCCAACTCTTTGTTATTTTTTGTTTTTTTATAATTACATGGACTTTTTTTCCTACTATTATTATTTTTTTTATCACTTAGAATTGGTTTTTATTTTGCCGTTTGTTATTTTTTGTTTTTCATAATTACATGGAATTGTTTTTTTTTTGTTCTACTACTGTTTTTATTTTTTTATATAATTATTTAAAATTTATCATTTTTTAGCTTACTACAGTTATTTTTTGATTTGTACTTATTAGGATTCGCCTTTTATTTGTATGTATATAAATTTTCCACTTTTCATATTTTCCCTAAATGCGGAGCTCAATCCGGCAACACCGCAGGCAAGCACCTCTCATATATGACATATACACAGACGTCTACGTCATATGGCAGATAGATGACGGTGGAAATAATGGTGCCAAGAACAGCTAAAAATAGTGTTTTGGGAAACATTTTTTGGCCACCGCGTAATATTGCTTGTTATTTATTAATTCTGTTTCTGAATAAAGACATCTATTTTTATTCATATTTATTGAAGAATTCATGACTGATAATTCTACTACAAGGTACAGTTTTACTTTGTTCTATTAATAAGGGAAACCAGGATCACTCATCATGATTAAAATTTATAACCGGCCCCAGACAACTGTATTACTGATTGTCAAGATCTACAAGGGATTCCCACGGGGTAGCGGCGAAATCCTGATGAATCATAACACCATTATAAATTCGCTGTATAGAAAGTATCTGTTAGATTGAATTACCGTTGTTAATTACGAACTAATTGTAAGTAAAAACATGTTTTCAGGCCCAAACGGTATCCGGAGTACAAACACTGATAGTGACTGAACGGCGAGGCGGCCCACGCACCTACCGGGGGCCAATGGGCGGTCACCGTCGACGATTTGTGGGCGGCGTTCGACCTGGGCGACCACCTGCCTGCTTTCCGCCGCGCATCCTACCCCCAGTACACGAAGTCTATCTGGGGAAGCCACTGGGCGGCGCTAAGTGTCCTCAGGAGCAGCGCTAAGCGGAAGTGGGCGTCATCACCGAGTGATCGCCCCGCCCCGTCCGGGTACGTGCGCACGCGCTGGCTCCACCCACTCTGCGGGCGGCCTCTGTCGTTGCCGACTAAGAAAAACGGCGATAATGAGTTACGGGCGAGTGCTCGGTCAGTCCGCGGTCGCCAGAAGGTTATCTAGAATGTATACGGCTGGTTTGCTTCAACGATCTATTTGAGATTAAATTAGAAAAGCTTTTAGAAGCAACGAGAATACACGGTATTTGACGGATCGTCTGGACGTGACAATAACCTAGTCCAAGACACTTTTGAATTCTCTTTTCATTGGGTGAAACATGCCGTACTATGTGAAAATTTGAAATTCAAGCCATCTTACCTATGTTCAAAGTAAGTAGCAATAAATAGCTTTCTTATTATTGAGTAGCAAAATTAAATTATGTTTTAGCTGCCAATATAAAAATCCATTCAAAAGGAGAACGGATATTTTGGTACACAAATAAATAACAATATACCGTTGGATAGGTCTTGTCAAAAAGAAAAAGGTAAAAAGTGCGAATTGAATTTTAGGTGATAACCCGGATTTTACCAGTGCATTTTTCGGCTCAGCTTTTTTTCACTCCTACCCATTTCCAAGATACAAAATATTCCTTGGTAATTAGAGTTATTCTAAAAAGTATTTACTTATTGAGGAAAAAACTTGTTTGTGTACAAGACATTCCCAAAAGTTATTTTTTATGGAATATCTTGGTGACTACTAGTCCAATTTCAACGAACGTTTAACGATCACCAGTGATTCATGGTGGGCTCAACTAGGTTTAATTAAATTTTAGTTAGTCCTTCTGGGGGCGCTATTAATTTTTGAATTATTATCGGAGTAATTTCGAAAATCTTGAGATACGCCATTGATATTTCATAAATTTGATACCTCCATTCAATTTTGTCAAAAAAAAATCACATCAATTTTTCATTCGGTACGATTTTTGAAAACGAACTCTATACGCAAGATCTGCATTAAACGTGCATTTTATGTTGTCCAATGAATCGACGGAACGCAATTCATGAAAGACCACTTGCGTGCAACACAAACAAATCCGAAAAGCCAAGGTTTCTTTCGAGGTGGCGATGCTCCAAATGGACAACGAATTTGAAAAAAAAACTATATTTCTCATTTACATGAAATGGACTGTTAATGATTTACGAGGGTGGTCAGAAAAGTTTCCGACTTAACAGAGATACAAGACATTTTTTCTATTTTTTTATTTTTCAACATAGTCTCCTATATATAATTGTTCACGAAGGTGACTGCCTCTTCATTTGACGAAAATATCTGTCCTCCGAGCGCAATTTTTAGATGAGGGAACAAGAAAAAGTCGCTTGGGGCTAGATCTGGTGAGTAAGGCGGATGGTCATGCAGTTCAAATAGTAATTCGTGGATTTTCGCCATGGCAACCGCTGAGGAGTGAGATGGTGCGTGGTCTTAGTGAAACAGGATTTTCTTTTTCCGCAAGCTCTGCCTACCTGTAATGATTTTTCCTTTTCGAAGATAATCGATTAAAACTCCATGACTATCCCAAAAAACAGTCGCCATCACTTTCCAAGCCGGAAAAACAGTGTTTGCTTTCTTTTGGAGCCGGTGCCCCCTTTGCAGTCCAGTGTTTGGACTGTATTTTTGTTTCGGGCGTATAATTGTGTCCAAGTTTCATTGGAACACGTTTTTGGTGGTTGAACGTGAGCAAACGTGGCACCCAACGCGCGGACAGCTTTCTCATGCCTAAATGTTGATTTAATATTTGACAAACACGTTCATTTCACATGTTGGTGAACTTTGACGATGTTTTCGTCGATACTTGCACTTTTTGGACGTACCGAACGTTCATCGTCTCCCAAGCTGTTTCGGCCACGTTTGAATTCAGCTGCCTAAAATTTCACTGTGGTAAATGATGCTGCAGGCTCCCCATACTCAGAATTCAACACATCTTATTGCGTATTGCCTTTCAAAAACAAATATTTAATGACATCTCGATACTCGATTTTGTCCACATTCACATCCACTCACCCAAACGAATGTTACATAACAACTGCACGTCCAAAATGGCTGAAACCTTAGTGACTAACTGTCAACAGATGAAGAACGAAGTTCGCTAGCTTTTATTTACTTGTGCTGCCATCTTCACGTCGAGGTCGGAAACTATTCAGACAACCCTCGTATATCTATTTGTTGGGGTATCAAAAACCATTCTTCCTTGAACTGTCAAGCATTATTGCCAAGCAAGATATAATTTTTATTGAAGTGACAATTTGTCTCATATAAAAGGATATACATTACTAATAGAGTTGTTGACACAAACCAGCTTAACGAAATCAAAAGGGTAGTTTGTAAATAGAAACTTTTCACATAAGTAATTGATTAGACCAAAGACTAAATAAATAATTTCTATACATGTCATTTTTTCCGAATAACTCATAATTTACTTAAATGCCTTTAGGGAGTCTCCTGAAAGATCTAACCGTATATTCGATGATAAGAAACAGTTTACCATAGAATAGTTGTTTAGATGGAGGATTTGCTAAAGGTATCGTTTATATACATAAGTGAATTGGGGAGATTGTTATTGTTTCCTGACAGAGTTATGAGAGTTGAGGATCGAGCAGCAAATATATGTACCATTTTTGTCAGCAAAAAACTTGCCGATTTTCTCAGTGAAAGTCAAAATTCCCGACAGCCGCCACCTCATGGTACATTGCTGTTTGATCCTCGCTCCGGTAAGGAAAAGCATGACTGTACGTAAGTGACCGAGTGCTCAATACGTCTCATCTAGAAAATTATAGAATTTAACAAAATAAAAAATTATCGTCAACGATTTCGAACGAATAGATTTTTGTACATAACATTAGGATGTTTCAATATAATTAAACTGTTGATCAACTGGTAAGAATAATAGTTTTATTATTATTATTATTTAACTAAACATCTTGAATTAGTTCGCATGCAATGATGTTCAGTGCTTTTCAAAAAGCCCACTTATTTTTTGAAGCACCCTGAAATTCGGGACGATAAGACTAACTAAAACTGAAAGTTGAAAATTTCAATATGGTGGTTAGACGTAACCATTTTTGAATGGAATGGGGGTCCTGTTATACCTCATTTTTAACCTCCTCACGAGTACCTTGTCACTCTAGAATTTAGATCTCTATTTTTCAGAAAGGCGGACTGACAAGCTGCCAAAGTCGGGCGTTTCTATACGTTGAACCGCACGGGTATTACGTATCTCGAAAAGTGACATTGTCGTTTTTTGACATAGCGTAGGTTTTTTTTTAACACAGCGTAGGTTTTTCTACAAGATGTTAACTTAGAACTAGCTGATGGACGCTTGTTGTGAGCTCTTTTTGTAGTTGTACGTGTTGCCTAAACGTCATGATGCTTCAGTTATCCATGTTTGGCTCTGAAGAGTGATGTAGCATCAAAAAATGGCATTGTTGGAGGTCTAAGGAATAAGTTGTATATTATAGCTGGAAGCTAATAAGCTAATAATCTGTTTGATGATAATTGCATTGGTTTCTTGTCTCAAGCAAACTTACTTGGGATTCAAAGCTACAGGGTGGCCCATAAGTCCTTTGAGCTGGAAAAAAAGGAATAAAACCAAACTAGTTACATTATGAAGAATTATTATATTTTGTTATCATCTTTATTGAATGGGAATTATGTTTTAAAAATCACATCGTCTAAAGGCAATCTATTACGATCACGGCACTCATATAAACGACGTCTAAAATTGTCGATGACTGCGCGGCAAGTGAACACTGTAATGCTTGCCATTTCTCTTCGGATATTTTCTTTCAGGACATCAACTGATCGCGGAGTGGTGTCGTATACTTTACTCTTGAGGTAGCCCCATAAAAAGAAGTCCATTGGGGTCAAATCTGGACTACGTGGTGGCCAGGAAATGTCTCCTCTTCGAGAAATTACTTTGCTGGGAAAAAGTTGACAGACGACGGGCATAGAAGTGTTGGAGGTGTGGGCAGTTGCTCCGTCCTGTTGAAACCAGGTCTGCGTATTATAGCCTGGAAAATTCTGCAACGCTGGTGTCAAAAACTCTTCTATCATTGCTACATACCGCTCCGAAGTAACAGTTAATGCGCGACCTCTGTCGTCCTCAAAAAAATAAGGGCCTACGATGCCATGCGCTGACATAGCAGCCCAAACTGTAACTTTAGGGCTGTGTAAGGGCTTCTGATGCTTACGCCTTGGATTTTCGGGGCTCCAATAACGGCAATTTTGTTTATTTACATGCCCGTTTAAATGGAAGTAAGCCTCGTCCGAGAACAACACATTATTGAGCGAAGAAAATCGATTCAACATTTCATTCGCAAAGTTTAGTCTCTGAATAGCGTCATTATCTTTTAATTCCTGCACTAACTGAATTTTGTAAGCGTGCAGACGTAAGTCTTTCCTTAAAATCCGCTGTAAAGATGTTCTGGGTACGTTTAGTGCACTGGAACGCTTACGAGTAGACTGGGTAGGATTTTGACGAACAGACTGTGCCACAATGTTGATGTTTTCTTCAATACGAGTTGTCCTTGGTCGACCCCACCGCTGTTTATCTAACGTCGAACCAGTCTCTTCGAACTTAGCAACCCAGTTCTTAATCGTTTGAGCTGTTGGACACTTTGTAAAATTGTGTAAATTGTGGTATTCTCGATATTTACGCCGCGCAATGGTTTCCGAATCATTATTTTGATAAAACGCGCGCACACAAAAAGCACGATCCGCTACAGTGAAACACTCCATGGCGACTGAATTCCAAGACACTGAAGATACTGCCCCCACCTCGCCCGCGCCGCTCACGCTCACCCGTTAAATTTTATTCAAATTTGAAATTTCAAAGGACTTATGGACCACCCTGTATAATTTTTTCGTATTCATTCTGGAAATTACATATGCAAATGTGCTGAATTTCAAAAGTGAGAGATTTAAGAAAAGAAAATTCCTGGTTGGTGAAGTACCAGGTGATAAAATATGCTGCAGACAGGAATATTTATGAAAGTAAAAACGTTATTACATTATTTTTATTTCCAGTCATTTAAATTTTATAGAAATTTATTTTGCGATGTCAATAGAAAATACGAATCAACGCCTAGATGTGAGGCACTGCGAAAATGTATCCAGTGTGATACGTCATTCCTAGTTTTTCTGTTGTGATGTGGCTTAATTGCACTCAGCGCGGGCGCCGTGGCGATTTCCCGTAATGCTCCTAAAGGTTTTTGAGAATACAAAAAAACGGGAAAAGTCGTAATTTATAACTTTGAACATAACCTGTCTTCAGAAAGCACAACATATAAATAACCCGTCGGGCACACCTAATAGATGTACGTCATCGGCAGCATATTCAGTAATAATTTTCCCACTTAGCAGATATCACGGATTTTATACACATGCAGACCAATACACATAATCATCCAGGTGCGATCTTGGTACTCAACCAACTTTCTTTCTTTCACAGTTTCTCAGAGATAAACACTACAGACTACTCGGCTTCACAAAACATATACTTAATTTCTGCAACCAACAATGAGTGTAGTTGAGTCATTCCTTCCTAGATGGACCCCACAGCGATCATAGCGAGCAAACGTGGAATGAACTATTTGCACCCTGAACACTACCTAGTTTGCAAGATGACATTTCTTTGTTTTTTTACGTTTTATAGATTTTTTACATAATAACCGTGTCTCTTAGCTAACACAACAATCAATGGTCAAAACGCTTGTATATTGTATCAATAATATTTTGAAAGAATTAAAAGATTATCTCAATATATGCCATTTCATTCTAAAACTCAGCTCCCATATTTTATTAGACGTTCAGGTAGACTAAAAGAAGAATATGGAAGTATACAACATATTAAAAGTTTTTGATTAATAATTGGTTGTAGAGTTATACGCTATTCAAAAACACTCAACTTTGACAGCCCGCCAGTTCGCCATTTGGAAGATAGTGAATTTATGCCCTAGGATTATAAAGTACGGATTGATAGGCAGATTCAATATGGAGTATTGCATGACCCATTCTATTTAAAAAAATGTTCCAAGATAACGCCCAGGCGCCATCTTGAAATTTCCCAGTGTTATTTTTACGTTAATAGCAAAAATCTAAGCAAGCTAACTTATTCAAAGAATAACAAGGAGTAACCTTTTTGAAAAGCACTGTATGTATGTGAAATAGAGACAGGAAAAAACACTCCTGATATAAAGAACCCTGAAACGTTTATTTACTGGCCACAAGCTGATTATGTATTGTAACGGTCATAGTTTCCGAAAATCCTGCTAATTTATTATCAAACCAGTTGATGCGACAGCGCTTCACACTCGAAATTGTTACACGTCGTAATAATAGGTGGTTCTCAATACTAAATGTAATCGAACCTCGCCCTACCGATTTCTACAGGGTGGCGCAGATTGCATGGAATAATAATTCAATGGTTGTGATAGAACATAGACAAGTGAAGGGAAACGATTTTGATCACAAAGACCACGGAAAGAACATCTGGCAAAAAATAATAATACAGCAAAAGATTTGATGTGGATTCATTCAACATATCTACTAGAGCTTCGAGGTACAGTTAAACTACAAAATAATTATTCACATTAGTTGCATTTTACATATGGTTTCAAGATGAGCACTTTTTCAATGCCAGGAATAGTGAGATGTTCTAAGCAAATGTTATACGGGCTTAACTCTATCGTTCAGAATCCTATAGTACGTGTAGGATGTCGAGTTAACAGCTGCACAACTACTACTCCCTGCAATCTAGCTATCCTAAAAGTGTGCTCGCGAAGTGGTGCATAGAACATAACGATTGTTAAGTGTTTCTAAGTGGTGATCTACGGTCACAATCAACGAGGCCGTAAACTGTGTATTGTTTGTTGACTCGTTTAGAAACAATTCAATGTTCGCGGTCCGTCAAACGTGAGACCTACGGTCGACGATTTGCTATGGTGATATTTGACAGCTGGCGTCACTTGAAGAATCTTTTGTCATCTCATATGTGGCTGAGACGAGTCTATTTCCTCCATCTTGCGAGAGTTTTCATACGGCTCTAGGAGATATTTAACTTAGTAGGTAGCAAGGTTTGAACCCCAGGGATAGTCAAAATCAATACGATTTTAATAATCAAGGTCAAATGACGTGTGCTTGTCAAATAATGACCTTTGGTCACGACGTCCGTGTGCCTGACTGTGATACACGCGAATGATCCTGTCAGTTGTCGATCGTGGATGAAGTAATGTCATTCTTACAGAGATTCAAGCAATATGTTTTGAAACAGATTGTCGAGAACTTGTATATGTTGTTTAAAACTTAAACTACCAACCAAAACCTCTCTAGATTAGTCTGTCTGTTATGACACGAAATATCCACGACTGACAATGACATTCCATGTGCCATAAAAGGCCATGCATAATTCTAAATTCGTGTTGTACGATTTTGCCTTAGTTACTGGACACTTCGTCTCCCAAACATTGCGATATGTTTATAGTGTTTGAGTCCCTTCTGTTACGATAACGTTTAATCTTATAATGCAAAATTCTTCAAATGAGTATTTCCAGATAACTGGAGGAAAGACAATATCGTAGAGAAACATCAGAAGAGCATAGCAGCATTAACCGATATTTTATTGCTCAACAGAACATTTCCTAAAACAAGAGAGTTAGTAAGGTTATTCAAATTTCATAACACAGGATCATTCACTAGTCGTGACCAAAAATGAAACATCATACAAAGGACCGCATTTTAAGGGAGTCTTCTATGTAAAAATTTTTCCTCGAGGGCAAAATATATTCAAAAGCTTTAACTGGAATGAACTAAAACTTGGTATGTGGATTTACCAAAGTATTGTCCACATTCAAAAAAAAGTCTCTATTAACGTGCACCAGTGGATTAATGACATTATTTTTCCAAGTAAAAATAGTGTGCCTCTGTTTTTTTCGAAACGCACAATTTTTCGAATTTTACGTTTAATTTGCTACAAGTAATTACTCTTGTATTTTTTCCTAGAGTGCAATGTTTTCGTAAAAATGAAAAAACAATTTAGATAATCAAAGCTTTATTTCAATAAATTAATCTTCAAACAGATCACCATTCTGACGGATACAAGTGCGGCATCTTTTTAATAAAGAAAAACGTATTTCCGAAAAATTTGTTGTGGCTTGAATTTGATGAGACGCATTATCTATGCTTTCTTGTAACTGATCAACGGTATTAATTTATTCAGCATACACTAGTTGTTTAAAAGTGTCCTGCAAGAAAAAATTCTATAGGGTTCAAATCAGAAGTCCTCGCAGGAGAATGTACGGGTCCGTTTCTTCCAATCCATCGTTGTCTAAAATGATTATTTAACCATGCGGTTATGTCACGACGAATTATGTAACGGAACATCATGTAACACATTTTCTATGTGAAGTTCTAGAAAGCTAAGGATGAGTTTGCATTTAAACGTTGTGGCAATACGTGCACAACAGTTGGCCATTGAAACTGCCACACCAGATATTTCTTAAAAATCTGTGTTGAAACGAATGGATTCTTGCAGAAGGGGGATTTTCTAACGACCAAATAATTATGTTCATTATGAAAATTAAAGGTTCCACCCCTCGTAAAAAGCGATTCATCTGAGCACAAAATCAAAGTAATAAAATCTGCATTTTGATTATGCATATGCAGTAACCACTCACAAAAATTTCGCACTTGCACTTCGTCGCCGGCTTGCAGGATGTAAAACTTCCCGTTTTAAAGTTCTCCACGCAAGAATTTGGAAACATGGTAACTGGGCTGCCATCCACCTAGTACTTGTACTAGGATCATCCAACGCCAAATTAATCACTTCCAGTTACTCTTAAACAGTATGCCGGACACCATGGCCTCTAACTCCGGAAGTTTGGCAATTCCATATTGCGAAGTCTTAGAAATGAACGCGTACAAATATTTGGGGTAGGTTGGCGTCGGTTAGGAAATCTACGGTGATAGTCCCGAGAAGCCGCTAGAACATTTCCATTACAGAACCCGTACACAAAAATACTCTCGGCGTACTCATCATTGCTAAATTCCGTTTCACAACGCTCAGAAATGGAAAAAGAAACTTTTGACTTTTACAAAAAAATGGTTGTAGTAACGATAACAACCCTATAACACATAACTTTGACAAACTATCTCCCAAGAAACGTCAAGATGGTATCAAGGCCTTCTATTTTATTTTGAAACTTATTGTATTTCGGCTCTTCATGGATGATCTAATTTGTTTTATTTTGATTTTACGAAAACAGTGTACTCTAGTAAAAAAGACAAAAGTATTTATTTGTAGCGAATTGAAGGTAAAATTCGAAAAACTGCGCGTTTTGAAAAAAACAGTGGCGTACTATTTTTATTTGGAAAAGCAATGCCACTAATTCCCTGTATCTCCGCCAATTTTGAGTAAAGACTTTTAAATGTGAACAATTCTTGGGTAAATTCTGATATTAGATTTAATTTCAGTTCCAGTTGACGGTTTTGAAGATATTAAAAAAATTGGTTTTTATTTTTCAACTTTTAATGAAGCCCTCGAGGAAATAATACTACATGGGAGACCCACCTTAAAATGCGGTCCTGTGTATGATGTTTCATTTTTGGTCACGACTTGTGAATCACCCTGTATAAAGTTATTTTCTTCGAAACCAATACCTTCTAGTTTTTTTAGTTGTACATACAGTGGAAATATCAAAGTTACTGGAAGGCGAAGCTGATTCAGAGGAATATTTATTACGAAAGATTTCGGTAAACGTAACGATTTTTTATTATAGTTCGTAAGTTAGTGACAAATGAATATAGTGAAGACTACACAGAGCCAAATGGGGCCTAAGATATACACATCTCATCCATCTTTACGTAATTCCATTATCCAGCCTGATTGGTACAGTTATAAATTTCAAGTTTATGAAACAATACGGATTATTGTGTATTCTTTGATATGTTTTGTCTCAATGGGGCACATATCACACATTCATTTAAAACATTATTCGATTCAGTATGTTAACAGGACCCTCATGTGCTGTAAAGCTCAAAATGACTGAATATTATTTTCATGTTTCAAAAACTATTTCACGAGTATCCATCACGCTTTGACGTCTACTGAGATAATCAGCAAGTGACATTTTTCTGTTAGTCTGCAACGTTGGCAATAATGAATCTACTAAAACCTGTTTATAGGGTTTTGTTTTTTGTATGCAAATAAACTTTTCTAAATAAAAGAGCTGTGCTAGTATAAACTGCATCTGTGGCGTACAAAAAATCAAAACAAAATTCGGCTCTTTCCACCTGTCGTTGACGAGGTCCGACAGCATTATGTCCAGTGCCGACATGGGGAATTTTTGAGATATAACTAGATAATCAGCTGTCGTTGTACCGTGATGGATACTCGTGAAATAGAGTATATGCAATGAAGACCAGAAATACTAAACTATTTGTATCTGAATATATCAGAAGATATTTCAGGGACAATCAGATTAGTCTGAAAAGAATACGTTTTTCTAGCACTATGATTATCAGATTATTTATAATCAGGTATTGAGATATCACATTCTCAAAAATTTCTTTTAGAATAAATAACATATATACAGGGTGTTGCACATTTTTTATCACATAAAGAGGATGTGATATCTGATCGCACTGATTGATATCTTGCTATTTACACACATATTTAAAAGCAAGAAAGTATCCTTCTTAACCTCTACGAAAGTAATAATCCATCAATGAGATTTGACAAAATCACGAAACTGTTATGTTGAAGCTGTCTGCAGGCCTTTCTGTTTTAAATGGAAATGCCTAATAGATGCTTTCAAGACACCAGGTATAAATATTTTTCTCTGGCAAGAAATCAAGAAAATTGGATAAAAATAGGCCAAGAAGTTCATAAAATTGCTATTACGATTTTCAATTTGCTGGTTGCAATTTCAAAGAAATTTATCGTACATTTATACATTAAGCAAACTTAATAACTGTATTGGTTTGTCTTACACACATTCCGATTTTTTGTCTAAGCATAACTGTACCAACCAAAAATTTTGTTACAAAATGAAATAATGTATAATATTTAGCAGTGAGCGCTAGTATTACACGTTAGACTCAATGGATAACCTTGTTACTATTTTTGTGCTTTATTTCGAAAATTGATTGTACAGTACCTTTTTAAAAGCCATCGGTAGGTGAGAGTGGTAAGCAACTAGTTTTTTTGTAGAAACTGAAAACTATGTGATCATATGTTAACTTGTACATTTATTTTTAGGTGTATCGAAGTTTTTACAAAATATTCGTCGTACAGATGATTGGTTTCTGTTTCGTAGATTTGGAAATGGATGTGGATTAGTTTGAGTGGTATATTAAATTACTTTTAATTTTTTGAAGTCCTTTTGAATTGGTTATAATGGTAACCTAGGTACTTCTGTGATCGCAAGAACTCCTAATTTTAGTTAAATATGTTGTTGCCTTATTTAATATTCATGACTAGAGTGGCCTAAATAATGTTATTGGTGCAGTATGTTTTAGGATACTGAAACAATAAGATTATAATATGACAAATATCATAGATTCAATAACAATTATCAGTAGCATTGTAGAATAATATTGTTCGAATGAATGTCGATCTATTATCCACTTAAGTTCAAAGCTCATATTTCTTTACAAGGATAATTATTAATCTTATAGCTGTAGATGGGGCCTATGATGAATGCTTTATTAACAATAATTTATATTTCTATTTGATGTGAATCCGCAGGAAATTTTTCCAAAAGTCATGCTTCCATATCTATAAAACAGGAAACTTGCTTCCACTTTTGTCTCCACCATGGCGAGAACAATTCTAAATGCTCATTTAGGGAGAAGAAAAAATCGCATTAAGACACATATGAACATAGTCCAAGTCGCATGTAGTATGCAAGTGTATATACAAGGGTGTATGGTATAATATATATGGTTACCTAAACAAAAAGAACGACATTGTTACTGGATAATGTTTCCTTTCAGAGGTTTCTCGATAGGAATCTTCTAATGCACTATTTTCAAGTGTCTCTTATTCCTTGTTATCTTAGTAAATGGTAAATACTCGATAAATAGATATACAGGGTGATTCAGAAAACAGTGGCAATATTTCTCGGCCATAAATTAATTGGAAAAATAACACGAAAAGTGCATATAAACATGAATCCTGAAATACCCCCTTAACGGAATACAGGGTATCGAAGATATTCCGATATTGCCTTAACATTTAATAGTATAGGAGCAAAACCCATACATAAAAAATTATCGGGTTTGCCACTACAACAAAGACAGAATTAAAGGTTCACTGCGGCAGTTCGCATGTTTGAATAAAGTATTCAATTTTACATGAATCACCTCTACTGAGAATATTTGTAGGACTACTTTTTTTTGAGAGAAACTGGTTTGAATATTTGAAGTCAAATCTTTTATAAAATATATTAACACTATGTGAACAATATTTATGTTTTGCCCTTATCCACTCTCATCAGTAACTCCACAACATCCTGTAAACCTGCCATGGGACGTTTTAGAGCGTATATGAGCTTTTTTGTTACTTTTAGATATTCCGGGAATATTGCCATTCTGTCTTCGCGATGGCACAATTTGAACCACTGCAAATGTTGGCATAATCGCATCTTACACAATAAATGCATACTGAAACCCGAAACTACACGTATGATTAAATAGAATGAATGACAGTACGGAAGTAACTGCGAACTGAACGTTGGATCGTCTACTAACCTTGAATAAAATCATTTCTCGACCTTCTCTCTACAAGAGTTAGGTACTCCCAGAAGACCTCTTCTTGGCTAACTTGTAAATTTCATGCTTTTTGTTTTTTAACCAAACAGTTTTAGAAAAGGGATTATTCACAATATGTTGTCATTTACCGAAGATCAACTGAAAGGATGCATTATCTTCGTGACTCAGTCCTTGAAAAACCAAACGTATTTGTTGCTACATTAAAAATTTAGAGGTTTGTTCGAATTTTGTTTATTTCGTTTTCTTCCTTAAGCCGGTTCCATATGGTAAAGTTGGACTAGACGTACTGCAGTAAAAGGAGGCATAAATTGTGGAACTCAAGTCAGCCAAGTCACAAAAATTCATCCGCATGAGAAACTTTACTTTGTGGAAAACTGTTCTCATTGCCATAAGTTGAAAGTAAATCGAAAAACAAAATATACGGGATGCGGCATAAAATTCGTTCTATCAATGTCAATGGGCGTGTTCCAAAGACGACGTCACCAGCTACTTAAAGTAAATGGGCAATGAGGTTAAGCGTTGCAACGCAATAATTTACTAAATGTACACAATATAATGCTCCTCCGTGACTGTATTAATACCCCAGTTATATCTAGTTCATCTTTTATAGGACTAGCGTGACTCAGTTGACACTTGATGTTTGAATACTCGTCAGTTTTGTTCTCCAAGATTCAGAAATAATTAAATGTCAATTAAATCATTAATAAACTTTTGTGTTGGATTAGTTATCCCAGAAAATATAACAAGTTTGCAGTATGCTCGTAAAGTTGAACACATGTTTATCCAGGTATCACATGCACCAAACCATGCTTTACTCATTAGAAGAATTTAAAATATAAAATATTTTAAATTGCTTCTTTCATGAGCGTGTCACTATGAATACATTCATGTGATTCCTTTTGATAGGCATTATTTCAACTTTGGAGGTACACTGTTACTATATGTGGCACACAATGTTTAGATTGAACAGGATATCTGTACAATATACATGTATTTTTAGGGACAACTAATTTATGTTTCACACCAAAAAAAATATCTGTGTAGCTTAGAAAACTCGCTGTATTATGTTTGATTCTTAATATTTGGAAGATGAGTTTATGTGCCAAGGTATCTCAGAAGTATTCATTAACCAGATATTTAAAAGTAGCACAGCTCCACCTAACTGGCGGGTCAGAAAATGCCTCTAGTGTAGTTCGAATGAATTTTATTACGCCTCACATCACGTCTTCTGAATCTTCAAGATATGCAAACTTTTTGAGTGCAAAAAGTGTTTCGAACAAAAATTGGAAAAGGACATGAAATCTAGCATTTATAGCATTTTTTACCACCTTGTTATTCTTGTCCCAAAGAATATTAAGCGCGTTAACATTTAAATGATCGAATATAATTCGACCAATTCTTCGTCCAGAAACATTGAGGGTGTCTGCTATGTGATTCGCCTAACTTTTATCATATGTAACTTCTCTCACAAGTTCTACATTTTTTTCGGTAGCGACTTCAGATGAGCCCTCTGGACCTGGATCATCTTCTGGCGTTAATAAGTCACGTTTACAACTGAAGCACCATCTCTAGATGATCTGCACAGATAGCTTATCTTCACTTTTTCCATTTCGTCGTTCTTTAGTTGATGGACCACAATGCAAAATTGGCATTGCAACCAATATTCAGTTATATTTATCAAAAATCCAAATATATGTTAATCTAGCTGGATTATATTGAAATTTGCCATACGACATAACTTAATCGTCGATGTATTGGAATGTGAAAGTAAACAGAAAAAGCAGACGGAGTGCAACCCAGAAGACAGATAAATAAAATATATTGTCAAAAAAGGGACAATTGTACTGAAGAAAGACTATCGATATGAAAACCACATGATAAGTTTCAGATGTTGCATGACAGAACGTATCGCGTGTCCTACAGCATTTTGCCAAAACCACAGCAAATACCGTATCGCCAGCACGGTTGGATAGTAAGATTGTAATAGTCAAGCGCGTTGGACAAATGAGTGCCCTTAGCAAAAGATAAATATGCTTTTTCTAGAGCAGTGTCACACTTTTATTTGGAGCAAGCCAACAAATACAGATACAAATCCTTACATAGTACAAACATTTGCGCACGATAGCAACTACAGTTTCTGTCAGAATACAGTTTCAGCAGTTATAATCTATATATGAGGTATGTAAATTAAGTGATGAGACTTTTTTTATTACAATTTTATACATATCGTCACCCTCGAAATAACTTCCTTCTTGACAAAATACTCCGTAGGCCTGTTTAGCAGGAGTTTCCGTTGCACTCCAACCAAGTCTGACGCAAAACCGTTGCTTGGAATTAATGTCTGTTTCACAAAAAAGTCGCTACGGTCAACCAAATGACTCTAGCGAGTTCAAACTTGTAATGAAGGCGGATCACATGTTCCCCCATCTCCACTCCACACCCGGCGCCTCCAGTGTTGTCAGATCGAATGCTACGTTGCCATCACTTAGTGTAAAGACCTTGTACATAAATGTGAATGTCTATCCAGTCTGTCGACATCACGCCTGGACCGCAATACAGAGAAACGTAAGAATTTGTACACTTAATAAAGCCCAGGGAAGGTTATCGTCGAAAATGTACAGGTGTTCGAAAAGTATGGATAGATAAAAATATTTCGAAAAATACGTCCCCTATAAAAAAATGTTGTACAACAGTGTTGAAAGGTTCGAAAAGATTTATCTAATGGTGATCTTGAACGTGACCTTCAAGGCCCTTTGACGATCAAGCCAGGTTTTTCAAATGAAACCCCTATGTTTGATACCAAAAATGTAAAGAGCGGGAAATTTTACGTTAAAATATGTCTTTAGGCATGACATTCATGATTATATCAAGGTGTCCAGAAAATATGGAAAGGACAAAATATCTCGAAAAACACCTTTATTGCCAAAGTAACTAATGCATTACTTTGAATATTGCTTACCATTCTCCAAAACCAATCTCCTTTACGCTAATGCAAAACGAATGAGCTATATTTCAGTTTTTAATATAAAAAAGCGCCAAAAGCCATGTTGTGTTTATGTCTTATTGGCGATGCATCCTGTGACGACCCTAAAAATGAAGTACCATTGGCAAGTAGCTTTTATTCATCTGGTTAGTGAAGCAAGAGAAAGGAATATCGTCAAAATCAGATAATACTCAAGGCACTCTTGATGGGGTTTTGTTGGTCTTAAGCACGGTTCAGGCGTTATGAAATTGCTCATTGTTAAATTTATGTTCTATAAACCCCACCCACCTCATGATCTCGACATATACATATGTTGTTCACGTTTTATGTTATCATAGTATATATCGATATATTAGTTGAAATGTTGATAAAAAAATATAGAGACGAAGAGGCAGTGGTGGGGTCAACACACATGGTATGCATTTATTGTAGGAAGATTTTTAAAAACGTAACGCAAATCGTTCACTTGCAAAAGTTTTTCTAAGAAAAAGTCAGATGGTGTAAATATAGTGTTATGATGATATACACTGCCTAATAAATGATTATTACCTATTCTGTTCTATGTTATACCTGTCAAATTTCCATGTATCCTTAATATAAGATCGTTTCCACATCCCATGAATCCATCCGTCAGCATATGACATTCAGCAAGAAGACAAGATCAAATCTCAGAAACGTCCAAACAAACACGTACAAACACCAAAAGCTTACAACTGCCGACAACACATCGTTGGAGCAGTTTCTCATGTGACAGTGCCAATTCCTAACAAGATTTTTGCAACAGTTATGAGTCACACTGTTAGCTGCAGACTTTGGCCCATCCTCCAGTACATACGAGCCCCTTCCCACTTCAGTTGACCCACTTCAAGATTTGTACCAAAATATACCTTTATAAACTAAACATGACCGTAAGTCCCTGTCGGTTTCTGCGACTTACGTCAGATTTTCGCAGTCAGTGTTTGGCTTACGACAGTGTTACCATCGACTAATTATTGATTTTATGTAAGTAAACGACATTTTTTATAGTTAGAATTCAAAAATATTACAATCTTAACTCATATTATGTAGGTACATACCTATAAAATTCCATTTCATATTTAATTTCGTTCATTTATTACAAATGATTGTGTGATAACCTCAAGGTCTGTTAAAAATTTGCAGGAATGAATCGGTTGAAGTTAAAAAAACGTTTTTTTGTAGTTAGAATTTAAAAATATTAAAACCTTAACTAATATTATGTACCTAAATATAAAACTCCCATTTCATATTTAATTTCGTTTATTTATTAGAAGTTATTCTGTCATAACCTCGAAGCCTGTGAGAAATTTACAAGAATGAATCGGTTGAAGTTAGAGAAAAGTATTTGTTTCTATTCTAATTTTTATAGAATCTATGAAACATTGTAAACATAAATGCTCGGTTACTTTCAGATTATGTCTATGGTCAGTTCACGAACAAGAAGGATTTTGGCGGCTCTTAGCCAAAATGATGAATCGAATAATGTTTATTTTGAGGAAGAAATCGGGTCTATGCCGATATCCATTATTTCAAGTGACAATATTTTTGATCTAGATAATTCCGAAAATATTTTAAAAACTACTTTAGTAAATGAAGACTTAATCGAAATAGATCAATCAATTTTATTGTCTTCTAATAATTCGAGTCCCTGAAAATGATGGTAACCATACTATGCAAGAAGAAATAAATGTACCAATAAGTACTGATAGCTCAAATGGGACAGTGGGTGTTCAATTTGCCAGGTTTCACGATGAATTCTTTAAATTAAAATGTAAGTCTTCTCTTCCAGATGAGTTAGCAGAAACTGATGCAGAGGATGACAATGAAGATGAAAGCTCCAAAACTTAAAAAAATATATATTTTTTACTAGTAAGAACTTTATATTTTCTTTTGTAACGTTATTTTGTGTTTTTTTTTAATAATAAACGATAGTTTTTAATTCTTTCCAAAATACTTTAAGTGCTACAATTTGCCGCCAAAGTGTCGTATCTGTGTACTTACGTTACATTTTTGATCAAGACTTCGAGATTTCTGAACCCGTAAAGTAACGTAATCAATTAACCACTAAAACTATAGAAAAACTTCAAAAATCATTTTTCTTAATTAAATATAGACCTCAGAGAAACACCCTGGTAAATTTTGCACAATTTAAAAAAGTTTAACGAGGTTAAATTAATAAATTAAATACACGTTCTTTCTCCGAAATCGTTTTTGGTGACTTACGTTACTTTGGCAAATACGTATCGACGTTATATCGTCTAACAATATTTCTCACACTGTACCGCGATAAGTCTAACGAAGTTGCAATTTCTGAGTTTGATATCCCAGAATTAAAAAAATTAATTATCAGTAATCGAATTTTCTCACTAATAACCTTTCCTCTACCCATTTTGAAAACCTTAACTACCCAAAACTATTTTAAACGTATTCTGACAGCTGTGATTAATAAAAACAATTGTCATGGCTTTTATTTTTCACGGCCACCTATGCGTTATAGACTTATTTTGCACTGAAATGAAAATAGGTTGATATGCTGTAATTGCAACATGTGTTATTTTTATGCTGCAAATTTGATTAGGGAGTGATAAAGTTGGTGTTTTCTACTAGATATTATCAAAATATTCATTGTTAATATTTTAAACCTACTATATAACACCCTGCTACATTTTTATTATTTGTGTTTGATAAGAAAAAAAACTAAGATTTCAATAGTTGGGCCAACTGAAGTGGGAAGGGGCTCGTATTTGAAATCCGCGTCCCAAATTATCTCATTGTGCCGAGTTTCATTCGCTTGTAACAGTTAAATATAATTTTCAAAATTTTTCACGTATACTGAGAGACAAAAAAAGGTAAACACCTACGTATGATTATTAGAATTCAAGAATTTTTTACATATTGATACCTAAACACCATCCAAAACCCAATTTTATTTTTCAGCAAGACAATGCCAGACCACATGTCAGAGCATTGTTGGCCTTCATGGATCAACATCGCATCAACCGTTTACCTTGGCCGCCACGATCGCCTGACCTATCTCCAATTGAACATGTCTAGGACATGATGGGTCGCAGGCTCTTTAATTTGCAACTCTCTCCACAGACTTTAGCAGCCCAGGCGTGTCAATGAGTGTATAAGAAATCGTGGTTCCTGAACACATTATTGAACCAGCTTCTGTCAGTTGACGAATCAAGCTGAAAATTTAATCATTTTACTAGTAAGGGACACAAAACATATATGCCAAAAATTATTGAAATCGGAAAAACATACGTAGGTGTTTACCTCATTTGGTCACTCAGTATATAAGCAATCTCGACCATAACTATACAGGGAAAAGGGGGGATGCCACAAGCACTTTAGCGAGGGAAAAGGTGTGGATGCAACCTGCACACATTCTGGCCCGCCTTAGATATCCGCCGGGTAGTACCTCCGCGTTCGACAGTCAGAGACCGTCCACCATCCAATCACAGCGACGAGAAAAATTCTCTTGGGATGGGATTCGAACCCGCTGCTTCTGGATAAATCGAGTGGCTAGATCACGAATCCGATGTCATTTTTTCGCCAAGATTTATCCACCCCAAATAGAGCCAATACTTTAGCTCTTTTTGACGATCATATATGGAATCAGGATCCCAAATCGGGTGCGTAGATTACTGGGATTGGTAGGGGATCTTAAGAGTCCCATTTCCCTGTTCCAATTAGATCTTAGCAAGATTACAGTGTCAATAACATTAGAAGTCATCATTCCAAATTACCCCAATGTATCAGGTTTCATTTGGTTGTATCTAAAGATGATTAAAGTAGAAATCCTGCCTTGAGGCACTGGAGGAAAATGTCCAAAAGAATCTTGTTGGTCTGCAATGTCGACGAAAATCCATTTCTTCCCCCCATTACCCCAGTGTGCCTGGGAAACCAATATCCCTTCATAAAGTGAAGTGAAATTTAGCAATATGGGAGATAGATCCAGTAATGCAAAGACAAATATATAATATTCCTACGAGAAAAGAAAGCACTAATGGCTGTTATAATCAATTTTCTTATATGTGGATAGTGAAATAAAATTGAGCTTGTATATAAAGTTTGTTCCTGGTTTTATGTAAAAAGTCAAAATCAAAATTATTACATCTACCGGCAGTCCTATAAGATTCAGTAACAGTCAGTCTAAGTTTAGGTACCCTATGCAAGTTAAAACATAACATTTAGACTCCATATACATAAATAAAAAAAATCTCTTCATCAAACTGGCTCAAAGAAAAAGGGGCACCTTACTTTAGGAAACTTCAAAAGCCCCATGATAAATATCCCACCGATATATTTTAATTACAAGCTTCAATATTTAGATGACCCAAATTTAATAAAACAAAACCAATAATTTCATTAATATCACTGCTTTGCTGCTTCCTTGACAATATTTCTTCCTAACAAATCTACTTTAGCAACAGGCGTACTTTCAACTTCAGAGTCTGAACTGTTTTCTGAAGATGAATCTCCATAGCATGATAGTCCAGGTAAGATTGCAACACATTTCATTCCTGACTGAGGCACCAGAACAGATCCTTGTGAAATAACAACCTTGCTGTCTCCTAAAATAAAAATGCTACATAAATAGCACTAATAGATGCAATGGTATAGTGAAATGATTTGTAGTGTAGAATACGACAAAATCAGAGATTTCATAAGGCAATTTTTCCAAATTCTGAGACGATAAATTAAATTTGTATTACCTTTTCCATGTGTTTTATCCTCCTGTTTAGTAACTGATGAAGAATTCTGCTCCACATCAGACAGTTTTCTTTTCTGACCAGTCATTTCTTCTTCACCACTCATTTTTCGTTTCTGACCTTCAGTTTTTCTAACAACCACTCCTTTTAATAACTTTTGCTGAGAGTTGTGTGCGCCAGTCAAAGATTTGACCTTGCTAACCACAATCTCTGCCTGTAAAGTTGAACAAAGTATTCAAAATGAAGACAGAAAAGCAATATGAGCGAGCCTTGATGCCATGTGGATGATTCAAGAATATTCATTTTGTATTACTTTTTCAGATTTTCTACAAAATTGGATCTATTTAGATTTGAACAATGGCAACCCTGCTTGTCTATGCTTAAAAGCAAAACATCATCAGGGATTCCCCAAATATGGATATGCTTACTTGCTACTTGCTTAGACCTTAGCTTAGCTAGTAGGAATGCATATTTCTTAGTAGAGCACAGAATCGCTCCTCTTTTTTTGTGACTCATTTGGATGTACATGGCATTACAATTAATGAACAGTTTTGAGTTTTCCAGAAATGTATTAGCCCTAAGTTCAATAGAAATTGATGGTTATTATGTTACTGCAAAGTATGTTGAATTAGGCAAGCTAGATCTTCCAGACAATAAATGGTATTCAGAACATGTTAGTGGAAGGCAATACTTGCTTCATATTGTAAAATGTACCAAAATGTTTATGTAAGCATGGGGGTAAGAGACTTGCTTACTTTTGCTGACAATCTGGAAGGCAGCTAATAGTTGTACAAAATCTGCTTACATAATACTTAAACAGTCACTTACCTGTAGTCTTTCCTCAATAGACTTCTCTTGTAAAACTGCTACACGATTTCTGTAATCGCTCAGCTCAACTTCCTCTTCCAACTCCTTTTTACGGTCTGCTGCTAATTTTGTGCGATCAACTAGATCTAGAAATTCTATTTCATCATCATCTAGACCTTTTATCATATTCTCTGAAAGTAAACAAAGTATTTTCTTGATACTTGGTTAATCATAGTGTTATTGAACAGAAATACTTTTTCATTGAGATAAATGTACATTTTTCAAATGTGAAAACCCTGTAAAAACTATCTTAATCTAACAAATGTACAATACGTACACATATCGCCCAAATATACTCTGACATTAAATTTGTTACTACTTTGACAGACCCTACTTACTGAGTTTGTGTGATTCTTCATATTCCAATTCTCGCTTTTGCTTCTGCTCCTGCAGTCTTTCATAAAGGCTTCTCGGATCATAGGGCTCCTCTGGTCTTTCTAAAAGGATGAATCACTTTGCATTTATGATTTTTATAACAATCAAAACAAGGTCTAACCTATAGGATCGTCAGCTTTACGGACTCGTTCCCATTCCTCCTGTCTTCGTTTCCTAATATCAGCTGCTTCAGACTCTGTGATAAAACCTGAACTCATTTTTAATCGCCTCTAGATATTGGGAAAATGGCAAAATTACTGGCAATTGAACAACATACGAATGTGTCGAATGTGTTCAGGATTGATACCTTTTTTATATGATAAACGCTTTATGATCAGTACATTGGATTGGATCAGTATCAGGCAATCAGCTGTTTGTCAAAATTGCCCAACCGTCAACGTCAATGTTAGGCTACCGCCAGACTAGACGAAAAGTTTTTTGCGGCTGCCGCGCGAATCTCGAACAGTTTAATTTCGCCGCTTTAGGCTTACAGACTGAATACAAGAACGTTAAATTGAGGCAAGAAAGGCGCGGAATGTAACGTTGTAACGCGCTTACTACAATATATTCAAATCCCATTTAAGCCCCTTCAAAACAAACAAGAGCATTCGAACGAGCCAATAAGAACCCGCGATGTTGGACAGGTCATAAATGGGATTTGAACACATAACAGTAGCTGTACATAAGGCACAAGGTGAATTATGCGTACAAGATAGACCAAAATGAATTTGATGTGTGAACTGAATATTTTTACGTGTGCTCATCTTTTACATGTTTTATCAGTATAAGGATAAACTACGCGTTGCAAGCCCCGACGCACATTTAGCCTGACTATCGCACCACCCGCACGGCTATTATGTGAAAAACCTATCAAACGTTAAGAATTAAGAACAACCTATAAAATGCCATCTTGCAGACTAGGTAGCTTTTAGGCTGCAAACAGTCATTCCATGTTTGCTCACTAGGTTCGTTGTGAGTGTGCATCCATGGAGGAATGGCTTAGCTACACGCATTCTTGGTTGCATATGTTTTGTGAAGCCGAGTAGTCCATATTTTTCATCTCTAAGAAGAAAGTTGTTTGAATAGTAATGTCGCATCTGAATGGTTGTGTGTATTGGTCTGTATGTGTATGAAATCAGTTATATTTTTTTGTGTGAGAAAATCGTCATTACTGAATATGCTGCCAATGAAGTATATCTAGTGGCCGACGGTTTATTCATATGTGTATGACTTGTAATTCGACAGTGTACAGTGAAAATCAGCAAATTTGCATAAATTATGTAATTTTCAGAATGGATAAGAAAAACTGGATGTGCAACTAATGTCTAGCTTTGACTCTCAAGTAAGTGTAATTGAGACAAGAATCCAATGGAATTTTATCATCAACATATATTATTATAGTTGTCGTCACCGTTCTTGACGGGTCAAAGTAAGATTATCAGTATCCCACTATACAGGGTGTCCGCAAAGTTGGGGTTTTCCTTTACACGACGTGTAGATCTTGAAAACATAAGCAACTTTTCTTAGTTCCATATACACCAATGTCTTAAGGGAACCGAGATAAAGGGCTATGCAACATCAAAAATATCTGAATACCGTCCTGTAGCCGCGACATCACCAAGTGGTACAAGGTCACTGGCTCAACCCGACGACAGAACTGGGTCGGGGTCGGGGTCAGTGTGTCAGGTCAGTATGCAACCTTCAACCGACGGTTACGGTCACGCGTGTAGAGGTAATCGCGTAGACGAGAATCCCTCAACAAGCACTAGAGACGTGGCTAGAGAAGTGCAAGTATCAAAAACTAAAGTGTGGCAGACGCTGCGTGAAGAGGGGCTGTATCCGTTTCACGTCCAACGTGTACAAGCCCTTCAACCTGACGAGTTTCCAGCAAGAGTGCGGTTTTGTGAGTGGTTGTTGCATCAAAATGACAATAATCCGGACTTTTTGAAGTGCATATTGGTGACAGACGAATCTACGTTCACGCGTAATGGGGTGAATAACTTTCGCAACACTCATGTTTGGTCAGTAGAAAATCCGCACGCTGTCCGTCGGGCACATTTTCAACAAACATTTTCGGTGAACGTTTGGGCTGGCATGGTGAACGGTATGCTCATTGGACCATTTATTCTCCCAAATCGATTGGACGGGATGCAATACCTAGACTTTTTACGCAACATTTTGCCTTCCTTGTTTGCCTGCGTCTGCTCGGTAGCGCATCAGCTGATTTCATTTTCTGTTGGAGCGGTATGATTTCGGGCAGAGACGTATTTAGCCCTTCTCGTCAACTGGAGAGTGAGTACTTTTTCCTTTATTTTTTTTACTTGGTCGCCCTCGTTTCACTACATATTACCTTTGTTATTTCAAGGGTAGTTAGTTGTTTCTGAAAAGGAAAACCCCAACTTTGCGGACACCCTGTATATCTTCATCTCCGTCATACATACTCATGCAACCTACCCCTATGTGTGAACGATTGTTCGTTAAGCTCAAAAACATACGTGTTTTAGTGTAACTCCGTCTCGAAAACTTTGTCGTTACGTATGAGTGCCCTTCAATCATATTTGTCAGAGTGACAGCTTACTTGACATCTGTGTGCAATTTGAGGTGTACTGTTATCAATCTTGAATATAAAATTGTGCATTCCCCGGAAATACGATCAATGGAAAAGGCCGCTGCTCGTGCTAAATTTATTAGAGTATTTCCATGAAGAGAATAAAAGAAGCGGTCAACTGTTACACACATCATGCGTACTGGAGAGAGTAGCAGATGCGCTGAAAATTAGTCTGCGCCCATAGTACGGAGACTGGATCTGTCTATTCCTTTCATATGGCGTTGATGACGTAACCGCCAAGAACGGTGATTACAACTATAGCACACAAATCCTCACTATGCACCTATGCATTGCCGTTACCTATAGTAATGCCATCTCTGAAGCAGATTTTACATCACATCGGAGCCAAACATTAATAACTGAAGCCTCATGACGTTGAGGCAACACGTACAACTACAAAAAGAGATCACAACGTGTCCATCAGCTTGTGCTATGTTAACATCTTGTATAAAAACCTACATAATGTCACAAAAAAGCAATATAATGTGAAAAAACATCGACATAATGTCACTTTTCAAGATACGTAATATCCGTGCGGAGAAGTATACGATAATGCTGCACGCTAAAACATCTTTAAGGCAGCGCGCCTTGTAAAACATGTGTTGACGCGTGTGAATGATGTACACAACATACATACATACATTGAACTTTTACTGCTGACCATCTTCCGTTGATCAGTTTAACGCTAAGCGCACCGCGTGTCCACACAAGACCTGGCGCGCGTTTAGCATGATTCTGGTGCATGCGCACCCGCTGGGGGATGCCAGGGGGAGCGTCGTTCCGTAAGAATCCGATTGGACCTTAAAATCTACACTCTCACAGGAAGTTATCTCTTACCGATGATCGACATACCCTCAACAAAATTCCTGCACGCGCCCTTGCTCCGGCCTCACCTGATCCAAGGCCCAGCAAGATACGCGTTAAAGAAACGCGCTTCGCTAGTGTAACCCACAGTTTAACCTCTTCCATCCTCATTATATTGCTGCGAGCACATTTGTATGCTGCCCATTATTTTAAGGGCGCATGTATCACATCGCATGAAGCGCTTTATGCAATCTCAGACGCCTTTTATCGCGCGTTGTACTAACGCTAGTGTGTTCTGGCACTTGGGAAAAGCGCGAAGCTGCGACGTTGACAAGTGACAAATGACAATGACTGTTCACTTGTCACTCTCTTGATTTTTTATTAGCATTGGAGAATTTTTCCCAGCTACCACTAAAAAATTAAATATTTAACATTGTTGTAGGAGCCTACACAGCAATTTAATTATCGAAATCGTAATACCTGTTATGCAACGTCCTCTAATTTGTGGTAAGTTTGTACAAATGTCATAATTCAATCAATCTAATGATGCCTTCTTGCAGTTCAAAGTTGAAATCAACGTTTTTATTCTGTGAAATAATGTGTATGTCGGCATGTACAAGATATGATATCAAACAACAGCAACTATAAGCTAAGAGCTACCAAAAGCTCCAGAGATGTGCACGAATATGAATACGACAATGAAGAAAACTGGGATGAAGATGGGGGAGAGGTCTTGAAGAAGGGTTCTTTTTTGAGAGACAACCGTGGAAGCAAAAATGTGGGACGTTCTAGATCGACGGAGTTTAGACCTAGTCGCATTAGCGATAGAAGGAGTTATAGGGGCAGGGGCTCCACTAGCCGTAGAAGTGAAAGAGATTACTCAGATGGATACTATAATAGGAAGTATGAGTCCAGACATATTGATTCTATAGGTAAGCTTACTGGCAAGTTAGATAGGAAGCTTTGATACATAGAACTACTATAACATAGGATCTCTTAGATAAACAGATTAAAAAGAAAATTTGGTGCTGTTGAGTCTTGTAGAACTCCCAATTTCACTGTTTTTTCTCTTAAAACTTTTAGAGGGTAGTCTGATAGATTATTTAGAAACAAAAAAAGTGTGGATGAAGCAAGCTTTTCATGAAAAGATTTTCCCAAAAGATTGTATTTTTAGCTGTTCTTTCCATCATTATTTACACCACCATCTATCTGCCAAATGATGTAGACGTCTATGCATATGTCATATATGAGAGGTGCTTGCCTGCGGCATTGCAGGATTGGAGTCTGCATTTAGGGAAAAATATAAAAAGTTGAAAATGTATATACATATGTATATTAATTATTGGATCACAAAAATGAAAAAGTGAAACAAACAACAGTAGCAAAATAAAAGGCGATTGCTAATAAGTATAAATCATAAAATAACAGTAATAAGCTAAAAAATGATAAATATAAATAATTATAAAAAACAAAAGCAGTAGTAAAACAAAAACTAATTCCATGTAATTATAAAAATCAAAAAATAACAAACAGCAGTAAAATAAAAAGCAATTCTAAGTGATTATAAAAAACAAAAAATAAAAACAGAAGTAAAACAAAAACAACAATTCCATGTTGAATAAAAAGCAATTCTAAGTGACAACACAAAACAAAAAGTAAAAACAGTAGTAAAATGAAGAACAATTTCATTCCATCCAAATTGCTTTTTATTTTGTTTGTTATTTTTTGTCTTTGTATAATTAAATGGAATTGTTTTAATTTTAATTTTTTGTTTTTTATAATCACTTAGAATTGCTTTTTATTTTACTGTTTGTTATTGTTTGTTTTATACTTAGTAAGAATCATTTTAATTTTACTACTGTTGTTTGTTTCAGTTTTTTGTTTTTGTGTTTCATTAATATAAATCTATATAAATTTTCCACTTTTCATATATTTCCCTAAATACAGAGCTCAATCCGGCAACACTGTAGGCAAGCGCCTATCATATATAACATATCCTTAGACTTAAACGTCATAATATGGTAGATGGAGGTGGAAATAACTGCTTAAAAATACAGTGTTTTTGGAAAAAAAAATATGAAAAGAGTGCTTCATCCACACTTCTTATGATGTAAAATAATTTATCAGACTACCTCTATAAGTTTCAAGTGAAAAAACAGTGAAATCCGAAGTTCTACAAGATGCAACAGTACCGAAAATTTCATGTCTTTCTAGAATAAAATATCCTGTTTTATCAAGTCGGAAGTCTCTCAAAGATACCACTATTAGTCGTTTTTTTTTTAAAACAATGTCTAATTGATGTGTGATACAATGTACTTTTGACAGCTTAGGGGTCTGGCCAGAGAAAGCAATTAATTAATTTATTTAGATTACCAGCTATGGTCTATCTTCAACACAATATTGCTATTTTTTTGTACACTGTCCCAAGGATCACATTTTTGAAAAGGCTTATCTTTAGTCTGAAAATAATGTAATCTTGTGGGACATCTATAAACAGAACTATTTTTGAGAGAAATGCTATTATTTTATAACAGTTCTATTCATTTTGGTATTCGATCCAATATACTGGTTGCACCATTTCAAAAACATAGTAATTTTTAAAATTAATAATATATCTAATATTAATGTTCTTATAACTTGATTGAGCTTTAGATTTTTGACAAGCTTTGTGGTGATAAGCTACAGACTAAATTAAGTAGAACATTATTGCCACAAGGCTTGTTTTCCCAAAAACAACTCATATGTGAAACAGTGAAAAAGATGATATTCGAACAGATGACTTCTTTTCTACTTGAAAACGAAGTACTTGCATCTTTTCAGCATGAATTTTTGCCATGTTGGTATACATTTGCCAACCTTTTAACAAGTTTACAAGATTGAACAACTGCAGCTGATCAAGGTGAATTGATGTTTTCTATTCAGATTTTGAGTATGCATTTGATAAAGTCCTATTTGAAAGGTTACTGTACACCTACAGCACTGTGGAATTATTAGAAGTCTTAATCGATTTCTTTGGAAATCAATCATTTTCTGTTTGAGTGGGTAATTTAAAATATTCGTAACATAAAGTTTTAGATGGTGTACCACAAAGTTCAGTATTGGCCCCACTTCTGTTTTTAATTTTTATCAGTGATTTGTTAAAAAAACTTTGATTCACCATTCTTCATAAGGGGCAGCACTGTGACTGAGCAATGGGATTTTATAGTAATTATAACAAATAATTTGAAGTGGGAGACATATAAATTTAATAGTTTAAAAAGGTGAACATTTAAGTTTTACTGTTTTCTCAAACATTTAAGTATTTAAACATTGAAATAGTTCCAAAAATTCATAAGCAGTACATAAGATACATACTTGTATATAGTCAAGCCATGTGGAGCCTTAGACATAAGGTTACTTGAAAGGATTCAGAGAATGGTGACTAAATTAGCTGTTACACATCTACCATATGAAGCAATACTTGAAAAATTCTTCTTGAAAGTTTAGCTTTAAGAATACTGCAGGAGGATCTCATAGAAATCTATAAAAGTACATTATAAATGCAGCATACAAATCTTCAGTCTGTCAACTCATTTTGAAAGGAAAGGTTTTTTCATCAAACTGAGAGGCTTGTAGTTGGAATCAGCTTAGCAAGTATACAGTAAATGCTTCATCTACAATCCAGTTTAAAAACCGTCTAGATAATGACCCAAAGCCAAAATTTATTCATTTACACAATGTAACATTTAATCATATTTTTTATTATATAACAGATATAGTTACATTGGTCATTTTCTGCTTACTATTATAATAAATAATTTTATTGAAATCAAATACATTTTTTCATCTAAAGGGGTCGAATTCCCAAAAAGGTACTATTATTATACAGGGTGTAAAAAAAGTCTGCAATATTACACTAGTGCCATTTCATCCGTGATGGTTGGAGTAGTTTAGTTAATTTCCATGAGCACTATGATATGAGGCCTCAACTGATTAGGCATTATTTTTTTCTACATGTCGACGTCAATCCGGAAATGGGGTATAGGCGAAGTTATAGTAGTTACCAGAAAAATATAAGAAAAATCTGGCATGTGTTTTTCAAATTATAGGCTTTAAAAAATAGGAAAATCTACACCCTGTGTTGATCTTTTAGTTCCCATTACTACAAATGTAGTTAACATACAGGAATATGCTAACATGCACCTCATTTATGTGAAATGTAGATGCAATGCTAGTGCGGCAGCTGCAGCATCGTGAGAGGTATCCAAATGCTGCTCGTCATCCCGATCACGGGGTTTTTCTGAGTATGCACCGTTTACTCTCAGAGGGACGATTCCCAAAAGCATATTGTAAGGAAGAATTTCCTTTCGTTACAAGGATGTCCTACTACAAGCAGTGGAAGAAGACCCAAGTACTTCAGTATGTCAAATAGAAACAGGCATGGTAGGGCCCAAAAGTACAGGGTGCGCCATCTTTTATGTCGGTATATAAAAATGAAATAACTTTGAAAACGAAAAACTGATTTCTATATATCGGGTGTTATCGGGTATTTTTATTAAATATGGTCCTTTACAATTTATTGGGACTAGTTTTTGAACACAACATCTATCAACTGGCCACCTTTATTGGCCAAAACAAAATGTGCCCGTTTTGCTGCGTTTTCCATTACTTTTTCGAGCATCTCTGGTGGTATAGCGGTGATTGCAGTACGAATGTCTGCCTTGAGTTCTTCAGTGGTCTGGGGCTTGCTGGCGTACACTTGACCTTCAAATAAACCCACAAGAATTCCGGTGGGGTCAAATCTGGAGACCTGGGTGGACAGTCAATGTCACCTCTTTTTGACATCGGACGTCGTTGTAGAAACTCTATTGTAAGCAGTAACCATTAGACCTTTTTCACGCATTTGTGGGCAGACATAACGAGCCAACATCCACCGATATCGATTTCCATCGACTGTTTCGTTTTCGTTGAAGAAAAATGGTCCAGTGATGGTTTTGGCGCAAACGCCGGCCCAAACAGTCACTTTCCGGTCGTGGAACGGCATTTCGTGGATCTCATGTGGATTTTCGGTCCCCCAAATGCAGCAGTTTGCCTTATTAACGCCGCCAGAGGGCGTGAAATGGGCCTCGTCGGTCATCACAATTTGCTTCCAAAAATCAGGTTCAGCATCAACCATGCGAGCGACTTCTTGGGCGTATTCCAAGCGACGTGGCAATATTTTTTGCGATAACTGCACCTTATAAGGAAACAAATGCAAATCATCCTTCAAAATGCGGCGCAGCGTGGTTCCACTGATGCCGAAATGCTGAGCGCAGTGACAATACGACACTTTTGGGTTCTGGGCAACGCTGTCTCTGACCGCTCCAACCAATTCATTGGAACGTCTTTTTCGTGTATGAACGGTATGTTGTCGATCTCCCACTGTCCCGTACTCAAGAAAATTCTAAACCAAACAGACGGATAGTGTTGTCAGACGGTGCCTGTTTGCCACGATATTTTCGATGATATGCACGTTGCGTTAACACAAATGAACGACGATTTTCAATGTACATTGTGACTATTTCGGCGCGGTGTTTCGGTGTAAAGCGATTTATGACTAAAATTGTAGTAAATTGACGTTTCAGAAACACGTATAACCAAATCACTCTGTTGGTAAATATCAAAGTCATTCGATGTTTCAATACCGACATAAAAGATGGCGCACCCGGTACAGCCCACCAAAGGAACGAGCTGCACCCATACCACGTACAGCGAGTACAATCTCTACAACCCCGGGATTATCTTCCAAGAGTTGAGTTTTGTCAAACAGTGTTACAGAGACACCAGGAAGATTCGCGATTTTCAGAGAAAATTTCATGGACTGATGAGTCGACATTTAAAAAAGATGTTCCATGAATCTGCATAACTACACGAGTGGCATGTAGAAAATCCACATTTAAGGAGACAAGATAGATCACAGTATCGTTTTGAAGTAAAAATGTGAACCCGGATTCTAAGTGGAAGCCAGAGTTCTTGAATGGCGAAATTTAGCTAAGCATTTGAAGAGGCATGTGGTAGACGGCTGCCCTGCGCTGTGCTCGTTCAGTTAGAGCAGAGTTCCCCAAACTTTTTTGTGTCGTAGACCCCTTGCCATGTTTTTCCGTATTGATATTGATTTCCTGTAAATTTATAACTGTAGTGAAGTTTAGTGTTAAAAACTTAAACTAAAAACACATTAATTGAATTTAAGAGATAAAATAAAAAAAAGTGAAAAATAATATAAAAAAAAGTTTTTTACTTAAAATAGTACAATAAGCGAGTTCGTTTATTAATTATAACATAAACGTATGTTCTACAATAATTTCACTGTTAGTTTGATTAAATTCCGCTTCTTATATGTTGAAGTTATCTAAAAATAGGCAAAAATTAACGTGTGTACCTATCCTTGAATTTTCAGAATAATTAAAAAAAAATATTTTCTATAAAGGGGGGTTCTTTAAAAAAATCAATGCGGGCACTTATTCCCAATGCGGGCATTTATTGGTCAGACACCAATAAACATAAAATAAACTATAAATAAAATAACATAAGCAATAAGTCAATATTTTTAGTGAGAAGGATGAACCTGATGCTTTAATAATAAATTATCAACATTTGGCGTCAATTTTGTAAGGGTTAATCTTAAATCTCCTCGGCTAATGATGTCCAGTCTGTTTTTTTTTTCGTTAGGAGATTGGTAACAGCGCTGAACCCCCTTTCCAGTAGGTATGACGATGGAAAGGAAATTAAAAATTTCCTCGCTATATTCCATAATACGGGATAAGTAACGGGTATGTTGTTTTGCAGCCAGAATTGCTGATATCCGTTTTTAAACTGAACCTTAAGTTCTTCGTTTGTACTTAGTTCAGTCAGTTCCTCTTGTATTATGACATTTGTTTCTTCTATGTCACCATATGGATTAATTATCCACGGTGGTATTACCATAGTCAAAATATCCTCAAACCTAGATTAAAAATGCGAATAGAGGGCATTTAAACGTTGACCGTAAGTTGAAACGTCGTCTTCCTGGCAGCTTGTCTGTGACAAATTGGGGAACTGAGAAAATGCGCCCCGTCCAATATTTTGCTTCATTAGTTTAACTCTGGCAAGAAACGCTGATAAGATGGACTTTGTTTTAATCAAATTTAAACTGTCGCCTTGTAATTGCAAATTAACCATATTAAATTTTGTAAACAGATCTGTTTTCCTCTTCATTAAATTTTCTTTTAACATTTTATCTTTAGTATCCAGAAATTCTAAAATAGTCTCAAAAAGTGCAAAAAATCTTGTCAAACATAAGCCTTTCGACAGCCAGCACACTTCAGTGTGAAGGAGTAATTGATGAAAGTGTTAGTCATTTTCTTCACACAACTGCGCAAATAACCGCGTATTCAACGTGTTGCTTCGGATTCGGTTTACTGCATCAATGACTAAATGAAGTGATTCATGCAATCTAACACTCAAATTTTTAACAACTAAATGTTCTCGATGGATGACGCAATGTATTGCTAACACCCCTGACACATTTTGTTTTAAATAGCTCATAAATCCACGATAACGTCCAACCATGGCAGGTGCTCCATCTGTAGCTACTGATATTATATTTGATAAAGGAATTGCTTTTTCAATGAAGTAATCCTTCAGAACATGAAATATTGATTCACCTTTAGTGTCGGTTATCAAAGTTCTTGCGAAGAGCAGTTCTTCGTAGATTTCTTGATTCATAATAAAACGAACATATGAAAATAATAATGCTGCACTATCAGGTAAAGTTGACTCGTCCAGTTGTATAGAGAAATGGGTCGTTTGCAAATAATTACATAAGAAGCTTTCAATATCAGAACTCATTTCATCAATACGTCTTTCAACAGTATTGTTGCTTAAGGGAATTCTTTTAATGATATCAGATGCAGGTTTGTGTAAAACAGTTTTTAAAACCTCTTCAACGGCTGGCAAAATTAACTTCTCTCGGATAGTATGCGGTTTTACGGATTTTGCTATAAGTAACGAGATATTGTAAGACGCCCGCAAACCATCATCATTTCTTTGTGACGTCGAAGTTAACATTCTGTCCAGTGTAGGTCTCTTCTGAAATTTATCTTTGAGTGTTTGAAAGTATTTCAAATCTTTCTCTGTTTTATCAGGGTGGCATCTTCTCAGATGATCTTGCAATTTAGATGGTTTCATAGCGTCATTGCTCAAAACTTCGTTGCATAAAAGGCACATAGGCGATTGTTTGTCCAGCAATGATGGAATGAATCCAAATTTCAAATAATCAACACTGTACTGTCTACATTTCTTTTTAGATTCGGACATGACATCAGTCATCTGTGGGCAAAATTAAATTATTTAAATAAGACAGAAAATCTAGCAGCTGTATATTAAAAATATTTTTTGATTTTTCCGAAAACATTCTATAATTCGAACATCTTCTTGCAACAATTAGCTCGAATTACGGAGATTGCACTGTAATTATATTACCGATTGCTAAAACTTTCAAAAAGAAACTATTGAGGAGTACTCGTGTAATTTTGCATGATTGAATATTTAACTACTAATAACTAAAGTCATGATTGGCGTAATTTATCTATCTTTGCTAACTACGAGTACAAAACTAAAATTTAATAAAAAAGAATGTACTTACTTTTCTCCAGCACTCTCAAACAAAATAACACTGACTCACTATAATTTGTGTGATATACTATCTGTTTATATTTTTTAAAATATTTTCTTAGCACTTTCCTTTTCAAGATTCAGGAAACGAATAAACGTATTTGTCCCACATTCGTATTTATAGAGTGACGAATTGAACAAGTCAGTGCAAGGTAGCGAAGCTCTGAGACTGCGACTCTCAGGTTTTTACAAGTTCAAAATGTATTGCGACCACAAAGCGAATACCGACATCCTAAAACTTAGACAATTTTACAAACATATATAATAAATTTTTTACTTCATAGGTACTGTGCGATGTAACTAAATAGGTACTATCAGTGTATGTGTTGAGATCCACTATCGTGGACCCCCGTATTCATTTCATGGACCCGCAAATTTATTTTCGCTGACGTAGACCCCTTGCAGGTTGTCATATGCCCCTAGGGATCGATATAGACCACTTTGGGAATCAATGAGTTAGAGAATATCTTGATGCGGCATACCCGAGCAGATGGTACAGTTTCGTGGCCAGGCCGTTCAGCTGACTTGAATCCTCTCGATGTTTTTTTACTAAGGAGAGGCGAAAGAAAAAGTTTACTCAACACGTTTTTAAGATTCCAAGCTTGTATTGCTGCTGAAGGAAGGCAGTTTGAACATTTATTGTGAATTTAATAAATACATTCACGTGGCGTTACTATCTGACTTGCTGTCACTACATAGAATGGCACTATCTGTCACTTCGTCTAAGAAAGAATTGAAATTTGTGTTAATGTAAACGATCATCACAAGGTACAGGTTTTTCGATTTTCACAAATTTTTAAAGCCTATAATTAGAAAAGTACACGACTTAGATTTTGTTATATTTTTCTGATAAATATTATGACTTGGTCTATCCCCACCTCTGGCCTGACGTCGACTTCTAGGGCACCCTGTTGAGAGTAATGTTTAACTAGCATTAAACAGTTTTAATTATTTAGCTCCCCCTTATTTGACTTAATTATGAAGCATTTTTTCACAAAATATTTTTCAACTTACAGTAAACCAACGCGGCAGCAAGTTTTATGAGCCAGAAAAGAAGACTGAGGTGAAACTAAACCTGCCTGAGGACACACGCATCTCAAAGCTCCTGCGGCGGCTGAACAACGAGACCGACCAAGACGCATCGCTAGCCGTTTCGAAGAAGTTGCTAGAAGTTCTCTTGCTGTCAGACAATGCACATTATGTGCGGAAAGCATTCCACATTTTGGGAGAGTCAATGTATGAGATCCTGCACGTGGCTCCAGGACCTCTTGCTAAACAACAAGCGGCACGAGCTTTGGGTAGAATGGGGTACATCATGGGGCAAGAGAAGGATTTTGAAAGGTAATTTTACTATATTATATTGGTTAGCCCTAAATATGGTAAATGGATTCATGTTGGATCAGGATGTGTGTCTAATACAAATAAAATAGTGCATTGAAACCATAGAACCATATGAATACTAGTAAGTACTTAGTGAGAAGCAAATGCATATATTAAAGTACCTATAGTAGGAACTTATAAGTCTTCTGAATCATCACCAAATGGGCCTCAAGCAACAACCAAGTAGTCACATTGGTGTAGACTACATTTTGAATTGTTGACATTTTGGTCACAACTTGGCAATTTTGTCATTATTTGTTAAAACATTCCTTTCTAACTTGGTCTGGCATGTGCTTGAGGAGTGATGATTGTATTGTAACTTTCTTTTTGTTTTGCTCATAAATCATAAAATACACAATTAAAAATTGGACCAAGGAAGAAATCAAAATTTTTCGTTGTCTTTAGACAGGCTGTATTATAAAATGGTTGTACCTAGGCTAAAAAGACTCTCGTTTATAGCTTTATAGCTGATTATCTAGTAATCTAGCAAAATTTCCCATATCGACACAGGATACATATTTCTGACGGATCCGTCAACACCAGGTAGTCAGACCCGTATTTTGTTTTGGTTTTTTGTACGCTACAGATTCATTTTGTACCTGCTAACAGCTCTTTTATTTAGAAAAGTTCATTTGCATAGAGAAAACAAAACGCCACAAACAAGTTTTACTAGATTTACACCCGACTCATTATTGCCAACGTTACTCTGCAAGTAACACAAAAATATCACTTGCTGATCAGCTGTTCACCTCAGTAGAAGTCAAAGCGTGATGGATACTCGTGAAATAGGGCAACAAATGCCGAGCACAGCAATTGTATTGTACTATAAACTACATATAATTATAAAAGTTGTGATATTGTTGATGTACAGCCTTTAACCGTTACTAAACGACAGTTGTTTCATGTAGTCATTTTGCACACCAAAACAACAAGACTCGGGTTTGTTGTATAAATGTTACCATGGATGTCACAACACAACTATTTTGACAACTTTGCAAATATGCCATATTATATAGTTGTATTTTTTTTATATCGAAGCAGCCTCGCAGGCAGAAACCTAAATGCGAATTTTGTTAATACGATTTTTGAACTGCCTGAGGTTCCACAATCTCGACACCCTCGTGACAAAGGAGCGGTCGTATCAGCCAGTTCTGGATGTACGAAGTTCGACACAGTTACGATCGGACGCCAAAGTCAGGCGGGTCTGTCTGGCAGGCACATTGCGCGGCGGCATCATGGAAGAGAGCTCTGAGGAGCAAAGCTCGTTGGTGTAGTGATAGAAAAGAGGTAGATCGCCGATGGCCCGCCGGTGCGAAAGAATCCCGAGACTGTATAAAGCATTATAGTGTTCAGGCAACAACAATAGTGAGCGTTTACGGCTGAACAGTTCTTTTACCAAAGTCATAGCATCACCTTGCTAGTTGGGTGATATCTCAGTAACCAGTGATCGCACAGAGAATGTAAGGGTATTTTCGAAAACTGGAATAAACTGTATAATATTTGATTGTAAACTTTGAGGAACATTTGTGTGATTCCTTAGTATTGATTTTAAAAGGGTTGAAAAGAGGTAATTTGTGCCTTGTTCTCGAAAATAATATACCTAAATCGACCTCTAATAATCCTGTACAGCGGCAGATTAATTCATTGTACAGTTTCTCCGGACCAATTGGTCAAAATTTGAAAATGTTGCAAACCCAGTGTCCGATCATACTCATTTTGATCGGATCTGGTTGGTATTTTTGTTTTTTGGAATAGTCCATGAATAAAAGAATAAAATTTTTCGAATTGCTATTTTTGAAATTGAAGGTATTATAGATATCCAATAGTGACACCAAAAGAAGAAAAATGATTTTTACATTTTCGACTAGCTCAAAGGATGTTTTTTGACAACA